GATATGCTTAGAAAAAAAAGTTAAATTCGTGCATAGGTCTTTTAGAAAGAAATTTATATTAAATAGGAAGTTTAAACAAATCAGGAAACAAAGTTACCAAATATTTCTGAAGACCTTGAACTAGTTTAGAGTCCTTAAACCGGTTCAAGTTGGCTAGTGAATAAAAAATTCGAAGCATATATCTTGAACCGGTTCAAGTTGGTCAAACTTGAACTTGAAGGATTAACACTTAGAAATTTTTTGGAAATATGCAATTTGAAAAACATACAATGTATGCAAGTATCCTAACCTTCTAATTCAACTTCCTAAAGTATTGTTCATACATTTTCGTAGAATTCAAGCTATTAAATATGAACAACTCTTCAATTTCGTAACCGATCTCGATCTTAAATTTTAAATTTGAAAATATAACTCGATCAGACTTATTTCACACCAAAATTAACCATTACAAAATATATATCTCACATTTCTTTTATTTATTACATGTCAAAAATCATGTTCAAGGTCTTGTTATTACTTATTAGGTGGTACCTGTCTTAGATACCACTTGGGGTTTGTTTCTAAATTTTGTCTACACACAAAAAAAAAAAAAATAAATAAATAAATAAATAAAAGAAGGAATAATCAGCTTATATATAGTTCATGTCTCCATCATGGTTGCTTACTAGTGATAGTTGCAATTAACTTATATATAATCATCTGCTCTTATATTACATGTTAAAAAGAAACTCCCATTCTACAAATTAGATGAGCATAAACTAACATGGTTAGGTCAATCATCAACTCTTCACCAGTCTCATTTGTTTTTGATTTCCCAAATTTATTTACTGCCAACAGTTTTAGATTGTGCTTGATCAGCAATCACAACCCAGACCTCATTTTAAATTGATGAATTCAATGGCAATCTAAACCATATTTGACCTAGTTCAGTATAATAATCACAACTTGGCCTCAAAGTCTTCAGATAGCAATAACAAAAGCTTAAACTGTCTTCATAACCTAATGCATGTGGACACCAGACTCTCAATCCCGTTCCATTTTTCACTATTTTGTCTGTGTTTTATAAAATGTATAACTTTCATTTGAATGACTTAACCATACAACTAACCATAAAAAAAATATAAAAAAATTATGTCTTGCCTAAGCACAATGTTTAAAGTCTAAAACTCAGATCTTATTAAAAAAGGTGTGATTGGTTATTTGGTGAGGGCTGCTACTCTATTTTATCATCCATTGACCTTCCTTAATTAAATTAATTCATGTCGTGGTCTTGTTCGGGGATTTCTTTATGCTTTGTAAGAAAATAAAATTAAAAAGAATTTTTTATTTATTGGGTAATATTATTCAAATTGAATAATATTACAAATAAAGTATTTAGAGACCGAAATTCGAGAGGTGATAAGGCCCATTGCATGACGTATAGCGACATCATATGATGGGATACACTACTACACTACACAAGGGCAAAGAGTAAGAAGATTTATTTACATTAACATAAGGTGTAAGAATTGATATCACATATAACATACTACAATATTCATATATATAAGATAACTGTAAGAATGATGATACTTAAAATAAAACTTGATAAAATTGATGATACTTAAAATGAAACTTGATAAAATTTTAATTCACTAGGTCTATTTTCAGTTCAAAAGAAAAAATAAGATATATATAAACATATGTATATGTGTATATATATACACACACACACACCGCACCCCAATTAATTTACTTCCGAAATGAAATGAGAGGTTCAAGTAGACAAATGAGAGTAGGAGTTCCTTTTTATTTTTTATTTATTTATTTTGTAAAAGAAAGAGAAAAAAGATTTACAAGGGTCAAAGCACCATAACATATAACCGATGGTGTTAACCAAAGAAGACTAGAGAACACACACACACACAGGATAAAGGTTAAATGGACTTGTAATTAATAAATAATGAAAAATATCATTATACCTAACACTACTGGTACTATAAAATCAGGAAGAGCTAGAGCAGTCAAATTAAAGGATTGAGTCAACTATAACCTAATATCTTATAATATATCTTGATGGGTAAAAAGCTATTGCGTAAGTGAGATTTGTTTTTAATAAAATATGAACACTTGATGTCGTTATTGTATTAAAATAATTACGATTTGTGAGGTACATTATAATAATCAAAGTCATCTTACCACCTTGTCTAATTCAATAATCAAATAGTTATTTAAATATTTTCTTATTAAATTTGCTAAATTTTCAACTGGATGTGATTGGCCGACCAAATAAAAACCAAATGAGAAATCATGGAACTCCAATCCCTAGATAATCGATTAGCTTAATTTAAAACTAGAGTACAGACCAATTTTTTTTTCCCGGTAATTTTGAATACAGACCAATTTTATATAGAGAATATTTGAATATTAGTATATGATGAAATTAACCACATGGCATATAAATATATTAACAAATTTGGATAATAATTCTATTGTAAATGAGAAACATTGAAATCGGTCTCGTGTTATGCTGGAGAGCTCATTACTTCTGAATTATGATGAATGAATTGGTTTGTTTGTCAAAAAAAAAAAAAAAAAAAAAAAAAAAAAAAAAAAAAGGGAAATCAATTTGGTTCTATTTTTAATTCTAAAATTTATTTGATGTAGAGAGTGAAGTCAACAACTACAAGAAATTGTCAACAATTCACGACAAAAGTTGAGAATAATTCACAAATATTTGACAGACAAATCAATTATTTTAATTGAGTCATAATTAGAATTTAGCATGTACAATAGTAATATATATATTTGATATTAAGCTTTATTAAAGAAAAACATGGTGTCCAATGAGAACTAAACTACAACAACTGTATACACATATGATAATGGAGAGTCGGACATGGCTGTTAAGGATAGAGGAGGTCAATGGCATGGACAGCAGTGTCCCCTGCGTGTTTTGACCGGAATCTGACAACACAAAACTTGGCCCCACCCTTCTTCTGACCCACAAAAGCCACCGCCTACCGGGGCCAAAATGTCACTCACCAAGACTTTGACCGGTCGCCATGTGACATTTTCTATGTACGAAGCTTCAAAGATAGTACTACATATATTATAATTATATATATATGGATAATACTACTATATATGTAGAGATATATGAGCCGGTAGTGTATAACATTTTAGGATTTTTTTTAACACAGTTAAATTTGTTTAGGATATATTGAATTTAATATTTTAGTTAAAATTAATGTGTTGAAAAATTATTATGTTAAAAAATAGAATGAATGTGATAAAAAAAAAAAAAAGTAAATATATTAAAAAACAGAATTGATATGTTCGACAAATTAAAACACAAATACAACATAGATCATCCACTCGCATGCTTACATACATATACATATATATATATGTATGTAAATGTTAGCTGCCGAGTAATGCGGCTCTCTCTCTAAAGTCCAAAGCTAGCTCAAATTGTCATAAACGTTGAAGTTGAATTCTTTTCTTAGTTTTCTACTTTATTGAGCTAGCTATGTATGTGTGTTGTGACTTTGTGTTTAAACTAATATGTATATATATTTTATAGGAAAACTTATAGAGGAGTGTAGTTGGACAGTTGACATTTTTAAGTATGAGAGCGTAATAGGCGACAGATGAGGTTTTAGATTTGAATTTTGTTTAAATTTATAAGTTAGAATCTGATCATAGGTGGTTCTTTTATAAGAAGACAAACAAAGGAGAGGCTTGAGTGAGCAAACTAAAGCTAGAGATCATCATCATCTACCCAATGGAGGCTAGGTTGAATGTATCTAGCTTCTGTTCTGCAACAAAAACTGATCATGAATCCAATTGCCATGAACAAGATTGCAGTCAAGAGGCTCCAAAGGTATATATATACACACACATACACACACATATCTCTTCTTTCATCAATTTTTTGTTACTTTTTTATATTGAATCATTGCTAAACTCATCATATATTATTCGAATTATCGAAAATTTAGCAGAAACCTAGTAGTTTCATGGAAGAATATTGTACATATACTTAGCCAATTAAGTTGTATATATAAATTTATATATTGATGTTTATATGTTCATATGTTCATGTTATATATCTTATTGTGTTTTAGGGTGGGAGCAGAAGACAAGTCCATGAAGACAATGTTTCAAATCCATCTTCTTCTCCTAACCTAAAGAATTCAGGCCTTCACAAAAAGGTAAATAATCTAACAATTTGCATTTACAAGAACACAAGTGTTAATTAAGTAACTACTCAACTTAACAAATTCCTACATATGAATTCAAACAATAATTTTTTCCCGAAAACAACTCTCAACATATATGTTCAATTAATTTGGTTTCGGATATAGCCATTGTTATGAAGTAATTAACTTTACATTAAACCATATGAGTTTTCGTTTTTAAGGTAGCTGAGAATTGAAATGGTGCTGACTGATCAAAGGTCTTGATCTAATTAATGGGCATTCTTTCTAGTATCATATGTTGAATTCTGAAATTTACATGCTTTTTCTGACCAACAATATTTGACTTTATTAATTGCATTAATTATATGTAGGGATGGATTTGAATGTTCATGAGTCAGGACCTGTTGTCTGTAGATCTTTAAGCATTTAACAAGTCTATGTCGACTGAGTAATTAATATTGCATTCTCGAATGTCAAGCTCAAGCTGGACTAGTTCATCTTGACCTAAAAGATACAATCAAGAGGGTTTCAAATTTTACTTCTGGCCATACACATAAGGAAGATGTGAGACCCACCTACACATACTGTGTAGATATTGCATTTTAAAAACGCGTCTACACAATTTGAAGGTGTCAACACAGCATCTCTTAAATTGTGTAGACGCGTTTTTAAAATACAATATATATATATATATATATATATATATATATATATATATTTAAAAAATAGCTAAAAATTTATGATAAATGCGTTATTGATAATGAGTTTTAAGGATACATTACATAAATTTAATCCTTATGCTGTTTTGACTTTTTCTAGATTTATGTGCTTGTCATAAGAAACTTATCTTGATCTTCTTGAATTGTTCAAATAGAAAAACAAAACAAAACAAAATAAAATAAAATAAAAGATGACTTTTTCTACATTTAATCCTTATGCTCATCAATTTGTTATTCATACAGGAGGATGAACTTGAATCAGCAAAAGCTGAAATGAGTGAAGTGAAGGAAGAAAATGCTAGACTAAAGATGATGTTAGAGAAAATTAAGAAGGATTATCAATCACTTCAGATGCAATTTGTCTACTCCCTTCAGCAAGAATCCAAGAAGAATAATAGCAGTCCATGTATCACTGATCATGAAGACATTGAAGAACCCGAACTCGTTTCCCTTCGCCTTGGAAGAAGTAGTCCTCCAAGTGAGACTAAAAGAGATCATGACAACAATAGCAGCTCAAGCAAGGCCAGATCAGAAGATGAGCAGCTAAAGGGAGGTCTTAAACTTGGACTAGACTATAATAACTTTGAAGGGTCTAAATCGGATCCTGTGGAGCTAGTGTCGGATCCAAGCCCCGAGATTAGCTTAGAAGAGAGGAAGGAAGATGAAGCAGGAGAAACATGGCCACCAAGCAAAGCTTTGAAGACAATGAGAAGTGGAGAGGATGAACTTTCGCAACAAACCGGTGTGAAACGAGCTAGGGTCTCTGTGAGAGCTAGATGTGATACCCCCACTGTAAGTTCAAAATTTTCATGCATCAACTATATATCAAACTTACTTTTCATTAGATATTTAACATGCACAGTTCATGAATTATTGTTTGGGGAAAAAAAAATAAAAATAAAAAATTCAAGAAATGTTCCTCTTCTTTCAATAAAATTTTACCAAAAATAATAATAATAATAATATTTACCGATGACCGATTGTTTTCCTGCAGATGAATGATGGATGCCAATGGAGGAAATATGGACAGAAAATTGCAAAAGGAAATCCATGCCCAAGAGCATATTATCGTTGCACAGTTGCACCAGCATGCCCAGTAAGAAAACAGGTATATATCATCTTATAATTAGTACATAGTATTAAAAAAATAATAAAAAATAAAAAATAAAAACTGCTTAGTTTTCAGTCTTCAGTTCATCTTGTGATTGATATAAGTAAACATGCACTAACTTGATTAAGTCATATCACTATATATCAGTATTTTATAGTCTGTAACACTATGCGAGTATTAAAGTATTTTTCCTATTTTAAAGTCTGTAACACTATGCGAGTATTAAAGTATTTTTCCTATTTCAGGTGCAACGATGTGCTGAGGACATGTCGATATTGATCACAACCTACGAGGGAGCACACAATCACCCACTTCCAGTTTCAGCTACAGCCATGGCTTCCACCACCTCTGCAGCTGCTTCGATGCTACTCTCCGGCTCCTCAACCTCTCAATCCGGTCTCGGATCAACAGCTACCACCATTCCAACCACTACCCTTTATGGACTGAACTTCAACGTCTCTGATAGTTCAAGAACAAAACCCTTCTACTTACCAAACTCTTCCGTTCCCGGATTCCCAACCATCACATTAGACCTCACCACAAGCGCACCATCCACTTCCTCCACTCAATTCAACATGTTCTCTTCAAGTTTCTCAGCAAACCCTAGATTTCCTTCAACAAGCCTTAACTTCTCTTCGTCCGAATCCAACATCTTACCAACTGTTTGGGGCAATGGGTACCCTAATTATGGCACCCCACTCTACAAGCAGCCCCAAACTGGTCCCATAAATCTTGGAAGGCTACCATCCCAAGAACATTTTTACCAGCATTACATGGAAAAGAACAACCAAGCTTCTACTCAACAGGCTTTGACAGATACCTTAACCAAGGCAATCACGTCCAACCCTAGTTTCCAGTCAGTGATAGCTGCTGCAATTTCATCAATGGTGGGCAGTGGTGGCGCGGCGACGCAAGAAAACCAAGCTGCAGTGGAGAGTTTAAGCCAAAACTCGAAGTGGGGTGGTGAGCCAATGCAGGCCATATCTTCCACTCCAGTTACTCCAAATGGGAAAGGTTGCGCGACGAGCTACTTGACTCGTACTTCATCCTCAAATTCTCAGACAGGAAGCTTGATGATGCTTAAACAACAACCTCCACTGTCATTTTCGATCTCGAAGAGTACTGCTGCTAATAATTCCACTGCTGATACTAGGGATCAGCTCGGTTGATGGTTTTTGCTTTGGCCATTATGGTTTTTGATCATGGAGATGGGAAGTGTAAAATTTTTCTTTTTTCCTTATTTTAATGTCTATACATAAATGGATGGGCTCACAAAGCTATGAAAGCATGGTGTAACTCATATTTTGTCAGATATATATATATATACACACACACTATCTGATGCTATGCTTTCTCATCTTTGGAAGCACAATATTTGTGCGACAGGAATGTAAATTGACAGTGTGAATTTTCTCTTGGAACAGTGCTATATGCATCAACATAGCTGAAATACTCAAAAAGCACAAATCTTTTATTTATAGCTTTAGAGGAAATTTTCAGCTGCAAGAAAGTCTTTTTGCAATTATCGAACAGTTTATGTGGAGGAATTTGAAACTTTAAAACTAAATTTTCTTTAATTTTAAATTCAAAGTACTGAGGTATTCACAATCCCAACATTAAGATTTTTTTTTTTATATGTTTTTTTTTTATTACTATTTTTATTTTATTTTATGCTCATGTGTTATTTTAGTTCTGTCTTTAGGTTGTATCTTGTGAAATATTGTAGGAATGAATGACATTCTGTTCCATGGTAAAAGATGGGACCCTATTTAATTTTGAACAAAAGCTCTTTCCATTCAATAAAATTTCAGATGTGATATTGCGAAGGAAATGGCATGTTTATTACTGCTTATTACCAAGTATAACATGATGTACAAAGATTCCTCCATCTTCACTTTGATCTTTAAAATCATCATGAATATGAAAAAATTTAGGGGTAAATGAAATGAATATACTTTCACATTTTTTCTTATCAATCGAGAGAGGTTCAATAAATGTAAGTCCGTGTTGCGAAATTAAATCGAAAATATAAGAAATAGATTAAACACACACAATAATAATAATAAATTTTACTTGATTCACCTAAAATGTAGGGCTACGTTTAAGGGTTGTTAGAATTTCCACTATGACAGATAAAAAATAAGAGGAGAGAGTTGAGATTGAATAAAACCCTAACTAGGATAATATAACAAATGCAGAAATTACCAAAATACCTCTCAAAAAAATTGGAATGGGGCCTATTAGTCCAAGTAGTGTTGATATACGGGTTAAAAATTGATAAATTAAAATTCTGCCTGGGTATTGTATTTTCAAATGCATACGTAATGTAATAACATATTAAAGATGTAACCCTCCATCCAAGGTGTTTATTTTGAAAATGCAGCTGTTACATAGTACATCATATAGACCGGTCATAATTTATGACACATAAACTTGGATAGCCCAAAAAAAAAAAAAAAAACACCGTATAAAATTGAGTACCCCAATTCCGAAGAAGATGAGATAAAATGAGAGAGAATTAGTTTGAACATTTATAAAATGAACATTTAAATGTGTTGTTAAAAAGATGGACATAATTCACACCAAAAGTATTATTAAAAATAGAAAAACCAACTTTAATGTAGGCAGAGTTGGTAAAAGAAAAATATAATATAATAATAAGTTATTTGACTAAGTTATAGTCTTTAAGAGTATGATAGAAACTTAAAATTTTTGTAGCCAAATCCGACCAAAACTACTTATAGAAAAAACTTAGATCTTGTTTGATTTATTATTCCAAAAAAATAAAACTACTTTTATTTTTTAAACAGCTATGCATTTCTCTAAAAATATATCTCTTTTTAGCATAATATTTTTAAAAAATAGTTGTAAAAAAATTGTCAAACAAGATCGTTTTTATACAGTAGAGTTTAAAAAATAGTTGTCAAAAAATTGTCAAACAAGATCGTTTTTATACAGTAGAGTTTAAAAAATAGTTGTCAAAAAATTGTCAAACAAGATCGTTTTTATACAGTAGAGTTTAAAAAATAGTTGTCAAAAAATTGTCAAACAAGATCGTTTTTATACAGTAGAGTTTTCTGCTCAAACCAAATGATATTAAAAATTGTAGTAGAAGAAAACTCTCAAACCAAATGATATTGTATTCTGCCTCCATGGTGTCCACAGGCACAACTTTAGGTGAATACGTACAAAAGCATATAGAATCCGAGTCCTAAATCCACACACACACACACACACACACACACACCCACGCACGCACTGTAAGCCAAGCCTAAGGTCAGAAGAAGTTTGCCTCAAAAACTCCCACTTTCTATTAGGCGACACCACGGATAGAGATTCTTGCCGCCTCTGCTTATTGGGTATTCTGTGTCTTTCACTCTGTGTTTTTGTATGTATGTTTATGTGGTTAAATGTATGTTGTAGAACCCTAGTTCATGGATGATGATATGTACAAACAGTATATAAAGTTATGGTTTTTCATGAAAAATTTGGGGATCTATCCAGATTTTTGGGTCTAGGTCTTTTGTGGGGTATATTTGGACACAATTGCTTCTTACATTCAAGTACTCTGTCTTGTTTAACTAGTATAGCACTTATGAAAAGCTAATTCATTTCTGATTTGAGATATTTTGGTTGAAGGTATTTGGGGACAAGAAGAACTGCTGAATTTTGATTTGTTTGATTGGGTATTAGGCGGTGAGGATGTCGACTCCGGCGAGGAAACGATTGATGAGGGATTTCAAGAGGGTGCAGCAGGACCCTCCTGCTGGTGTTAGTGGTGCCCCATATGACAACAATATCATGCTTTGGAATGCTGTTATTTTTGGGTAAATTCATGAACTAAATACAACTCTTGATATATATATATATATATATATATATATATATATATATTTATTTATTTATTTATTTATTTTAATTTATTTGTTCTTTAAGTTGTACTGATTCCTTTGTTGTCTTCAATTGCAGTCCTGATGACACTCCTTGGGACGGAGGTGAGCGGATTTAACATTGAAAATTTTATTTAGAAATGATACTTAGTCATGCAGTGAGTTGGGTTAATTTAGTCCATACATGTTCAGGGACATAAATTGCTTGGTTCTGTCTGTTAATGAACTTCCTACTTTTAAACATATTTTGCTTGGATACGACTGTAATACCGTATCATATATACATTCCTGTTGATTTGAGGAATTTCAATTGATCTAGACACAGTGGAAAATAGAAAAAGGTTTTATGATAAGTTCTTATTGTGTTGCTGTTAGTCTCATAAAAGGACATCCACTGGTTTGAACCTGCACTACAACACCTGGGGCGCCTTTTGATTTCTTTAGATGCAAAGTCTTTCCTAGTTTTTTGATTTGTCTCAGTGACACCGGCTGCAATCAACATTTATGTTATGTCGTCGCGCGGCTAACTTGTGCTTTCTCTAGATCCAATGTTTCCTCGTGCAGTGTTGTCGAAGGCATGCCTAGGCATGCGCCTAGGCTCCAGGCTCATTAAGGCGCAACACTTGTGCCTGTTGTGTGCCCAGGTGTGCCTTTGACATCATTTGCGTCTTTAATATGGAATATGAATATGCTTTAATAGTAATTTAATTTTTCAATTGTGCTGCTCACTTCACTTGGGTGCGTGCCTCGCCTTGTGCCCAGGCTCCAAAGGACCACTAGTGCCTTAGTGCACCTTAGGCCTTTGATAGCACTGTCCTCGTGGAATATTTTTGTGGAACTGCTAGCATACACATGGCACTAAATCTCAATACTAACATGTAAGTTTTACTTTGTCAAGTTATTGATCTTCAGTTAAGGCTTCCGATAGAGAAGCTTATTGCAATAGCATGTAGTTATTACTATCAAGATTTTCATTTTTTATTTTTTTTATATATCTTTCAATATATGTAGCTTGGACTCGGGTACTTGTGTTAGGTATGGGTATGTATCCATGCGTCGGACGTGTCAAATTCCAAACAAAAGGATAGATGGACACTACTAAATATTCATTGTTTAATATTTTTTATTTATTCTTTAGAGTAAAGTAATGTTTTTATGTAATACAGTGATTAGAATAGAAATTTCACTCATTTGAAGTAATAATATAAGAAAATGAAATTATTGGATATATGTTTTAGGTGTTTGTCCAATCAAAAGTGTCAGAAACATATCCAAGTACCCGTGTCCAAATGATATGTGTTGGACACGGGTACTTCACTTACTTTGGAAGAGTCCATGTAACATAGCTTTCAATTTTTTTTAGTTGAGTTTTTAGGGTGTTATCCCCCCTCCCACCCATTACTGGATGTATAATGTTCTTTATAATTTTCAATATAAAATAGCTCCTCTTACCTTAATATACGTTGTTTTGAGCTCTCAGGTACGTTTAAGCTGACACTTCAGTTTACAGAGGATTATCCAAATAAGCCACCAAATGTGCGGTTTGTTTCCCGAATGTTCCATCCAAACAGTAAGTTTGAAATAGAATAAGTCACTTTGTTTGATTGATTTCATAATTATCTCATTCTTTTTAGGATCAACAGCCAAGATTTGGCCTCTTCTTATTAGAATTCTGTTTTTTAATGCATTTAAGGCATATGTCTTGAGGGTTTCTGTTGGAACATGGCTCAAGGAAAAAGCCTCGAGATTCAACCTTCAAGTATGTGGTGTTGGAGTTTGAAGGTCATGCATTGAGCCTCCTTCTATGTTGAGACAGGCACACTCATAGTAAAAAATCCCTCTTTAGATGTGATGGTTGTTCCCTCATTCATGTTTTTGGAGAGTGGAGACCATAATGACTTGCCTTATTTCTTCACATTTAAGACCATCCTTTGTTTGTCTGGATTTTTGGACTTACGTACCAGGAAATTATATGAAGTGTCATTTGTCCTTGTTCAAAGAGGTGAAAATGCTGTAGGCTGGAAGAGTTTTTTTTTGGTGTTGGGGTGTGTGTGTGTGTGTGTCACGTGTGTGTATTGTTGTTGCACAAAACATGTATGAAGAAAAGTATTGATCATTCTCTAATCTAGTATGTCATGCAAAAGTTCAGAGGTGCCGTTGTTCAGCCAATTGCCTTTTGCGTTGTGAACTCCCATTTCTAAGGTTTTTATAGTTTTTCTGTTTGAATGCATTTAGGGATTCTGGCCCTGCATCTTTTATCTACTTATTTAGTAATGGTGGAAACAACACAGTTCCCTTGCTGTATAAAATGTCGCAGCAAACTCTAAATTATATATAACCATCCATCCAGTTGTATGCCTTGATGTTGAGGTTGTTCCATGAGAAACTTCTTAATATTACACTTTATTGACCTAATCAAACATCTTTCGTGAAATTATCTTTTTAGGGAGAAGATATTCAGTGCGCCTGGCATGCCGCGTCATTGGTATGCCTAGCCAATAGAAATACATCATTCTATGAAATTTGTCCCACCTAATTTTGAATATTGATTTTCATTGTCGGGCATACCAATGACCTGGTGTGCCCGGCGCACCCAATATCTAGTTCTTTTTAGGTTAGCCTTTTGTTGACTTATTTTGCTGCATCCATTTCCTCATAAATCAATCTGCCATTGTAATCTTTATTTTGTTTATTTTTTGTAGCATTTTGAAGTTCAAACATTTTATATAACAACTTGTTGAGTGTTCAAGTTTACTTGAAATTGATTCAGGTCAGAATTGTTTGCATTAGTTCACGAATCAATTCCTTAACAGCACAGAAACTATTTGTAGTTATAATCTGAAATGCTTTGGATTGTTTTTATAATACTCTTTCAATGCTCATCTTTCTTCTCAGCATTCTTCTCTGAAATATGATTGGTTTCCCTGAAATTTTTGGGTTGTTAATTTGCATGCTTCTATTGCATTCATCAATACACAATCTCACATGCATGCTTGTTTGCATTCGTATATTTTCTGGCCAGGGACACCAGAGCATGCACTGCAGCCTCTTTTTATCCTGCATCCTCTGCATTGCTCCCTAATTCTTAGTTTTTTGTCGTATTTGGTGAAATATGAGATACAGTTGCCTCACCAATAATAATTATAATAGAAATAGTATGGTGAGGTTTCTTGTAAGCTGGTTCTTTCTTACTCTTGTATTGTATTTGACCAGTTTATGCAGATGGAAGTATTTGTTTGGATATTCTGCAAAATCAGTGGAGTCCAATCTATGATGTAGCTGCTATACTTACATCTATTCAGGTATAGTGGGGTTGAGTTTGTATGATCATTTAATTATATGTTTGATAGGTATTGCATGTGTGTATTATTTCTTGTATATGTAAAGTATCACTTCATAGATTTTATTTTAAAAATACATCAAATCATTTAGAAAAAGGTAAAACAGAAGTTGTTCTACTTCTACCTGGTTTGTGCTGAAAATGGAGTATAATCAGAACTTTCTGGAGTTATTAAAATTTTCCTATCATTAACCTGTCGCTTGATTGCAAGTACTAATGAGCACCCAAGGTGTGTATTTTACATTTGCAAGCATGAGATCCTTAGATATGAGTATAGTTGCATATTCCACAACATGAGTGCAATACAAATTTAATACATGCTTGTGGCAACAAGTATTTATGTACTGCTTTAGATCTTAGTCTCCAATTTCTTCTCTGAAGATCTTTTCAATATGTGAGGGACATGTTCTTATTCATGTTATTGATAACCCTTGTGCTTTTCCAACAATGGAAAGGGAAAAGGGAGTTCTTTCCTGCGCTCCCCCTTCCTTTTCAATATGTGGTACCTTGAGCAGATGAATGCACAGTTGTGACTTGTGACTGCTTATTAACTGAGCAATGCTTAGCTAAGCTCAAGTTCATTAAAATGCCAAGGCAGTTAACTGTTGGGAGCTTGACCTGAATTAGACTGAATATGTTTAAACTCACTCTCTCATCTCTTCCTTATCTCCTGACAATGTCGCTAATATAAACTGCGGCCTTCCTTGTTTTAGTACGGTCGATACTAAGGTAGTGATTCCTTTCAACTGTCTTTTTTTATTTATTATTATTAAATGTTTATGGAGAGAGATTCTGAATCTCAATTCCAGTTTTTTCAAGGCAGGGGTTGGTTTAATGGCGAACGGATAGAGTCACCAATTAGGACAGTTTGTGGTGTGAAGAAATGATTTAGCGTGTTTTTTCCTATATTTCCTCATCTACACTGCGAGGGAGGGGACTTGAGATTATGATAAAAAAAAATACAGGCATGTTGGTAGAACTTCAGAGTGGGGTAGAGCCCTTTATTTGAGAGGTTATGTAGGAAAGAACTTGTAGAAGCTAGACTACGGTAACTAGATAAATGAATTTCTGCTCCTTTTGAGTCAAGTGTGTTTTCAGCAATGTCCTTCTGTGTGCTTGGTAGTTTGAACGATGCTTTATCCCGCGAAAAGATAAAAAGTATCCTCATTGGATGATATTTGATATATGATTTTTCACACGGCATTTATCTTGTGAAAAAAGCTAGGTTATGTGCAGATAACCTCTTTCTCCATAACTGTTGGCAGTATTTACATTTTGAGAAAAGCAAGGCACTTGGTGTTTAATTTAGGTTGGTTCAAGGCACAAAGTAGCGTCTAGGAAGCACATATACGGATACAACATGATACGGCTAATCTAAAAAAACAGGATATGGGTAGAGCAGGATATGGCAATAAAAAAAATTATTTTTTGGTCATTTTAAAAAATATATTATGAATCTAAAAGCAATCATTAATATGATATAGAAGTTTGTTTCACAACACATAAAACAAGCATCCCTAGTCATCATTTAATAAACTTTCTTTTCCTAAATCATTTAATAAACTTTTAACTTTTCTTAACAATTATACTACGTTATTATTGTTAGAAAAGTTGCATTTCAATTTTTTTTTTTTTGGGAATCTAAAAGTGAAGTCAATGTTCAAACTTGTTAAAAATGTGTTATGAAGTGTCTAAGAAGTGTCGGATACGCAGTCGAAATACCTACGAAGTATCTGAAAAGTATCAGATGTGTTAGAAATTAAAAAATATATGTTAAACTTTTGGATACGTTTAAAAAGTATCGAACACATATCTGCGAGTATTGGTATCCGACACGTATCCGATACAGGTACGTCGCTCTCCTAGAAGTATCTGTGCTTCCTAGAGTAGCGTGCAAAACTGCGAAAGGGATCAGTAATTCAGTAGAGTCTGGTTTGAATTGATGCAAATACAGTTGCACCCAAGGTTAACTTGTACTAGATACAATTATTCTTGTGGGCAAGAATAATGTCTTGAATGCAATTCTAGTTGAGTCCAATGATTTATTTTCTTCTTGAGAATTACGAAATAATGTAAGACATGTGGCAGCTTGCCTTGTATTGGAGTTATGAATTTGAACACATTTACATGTTCACCTAAATGTAACTTCTGCTGCGACCATTTTTTTTCCTTTGACCTCAACAATAGGTGAGTCCGAATTGACTTATACACTGTTTTATTGAGGCCTAGCTTTGGTTTCGAATTTGACTTTTCTTTGCTCCTTTGTGGATGAAGGAAAGGTTATGATAAAATTTGAGCTAACGTATCAATTGTTTTGTCAAAGTCTGCTTGGTTCTGTTTCTTGATAATGGTTTTATGCTCTCAAAGAACTAGAAATTAGAGAATCAGTTTGAAAATTCATTTGGTTGACAAGTTTTTTTTTTTCTTTTTCTTTTTCTGAAAGTTGAGTTAAAGAAAAGGTTTTATTTTATAAAACTGTCTTTTGTGGCTCTCAGATAATTGCCTTTTGTTTTCAGAATTTTTGAAAATTGCTTTCTAAGAATTGAACCAAATAGGCCCTAAATGTTTGATTTTTTATTTTTGTGTCCTTCAATTTTTTTTCCATCTTGATGTGGGTGGTGGTGTCTTGTTATGTGATTTAGATTTTTTTTTTTTTAACCTCTTTTGGATTCGAGGCAAAATGGGGGATCTACAACAAATTTAGAAAATTCACGTTTGATTCATTATCAAATAAGTTAATAGTGCAAATGTTTGACTAATAAATAATCAAGTAAATAGATTATCCAGGTTACACTTATACACTCGTCAATGAGTCATACAACTCAGTTGTACTGGATTAATAGTGACTAATCCTGATCTGATGTTTGATGCTTTAATTTTCTGATTGCAGTCATTGCTCTGTGATCCGAACCCAAACTCACCAGCAAATTCAGAAGCTGCAAGATTGTTTAGTGAGAACAAGCGGGAATACAATAGGAGAGTGCGTGAGATTGTTGAGCAGAGCTGGACAGCCGACTAAATCTCTCTTGGTTTGGTGCTCTAATGGGTTCTTAAGCTGAAATGAACCGTGGCATCAAGTTTTTCTCCTCATAGGGTGGTCTAAATTTCAATAGCTTTCTCGGTATGATTGCTACATTAATAACAATTGTAATGGAAAATTTGTTACCTAACGATCATGTTGTATGATTTACTTGTAGGAGCTTCAAGCTTCTCTATCTTCTTATCATATGTTGTGCTGCTTGCAATTTGGAGTTCATGTATATAATGATTTCTTGTATTGAATCGGCTTGAATCTATATGAAATTTATCTTTTGATAATGCTTGTTGTAAGTCCTTTACAAGGAAGAAGAATTCAGGTTTTCGGTTGATTTGCTTGTGAATTCAAAGTTCATAAAGTGACTACTGACATGAATTTATTCTTTTTCGACACAGAATACAGCGCTTTATGCCTGATTGATGGTGGAGAACAAGTGCTCATAAGTTGGAAAATTTTCCATTAGGGTTTGCGCTTTAATCCCAATAGGATACTACTTGTCTAACTTTATTGTTCATTAATGCTGATTTCAGACAGCTTCACAAAGAGGCTTTGTGCATAAATTTGGAGTGACAGCTTAAAAATCAAGTTTATAAAACCACATTTTAATCTTTGTGATGTGTGATTTATTGTTTGATCACATCTTCAAAACATTTTCTTGGATTCATCTCCAAAAGTGAAACAAAAGAAGAAAAGAATGAATAGTCCTGGACAAAAGCATGTTGGAATGGACTTGGAATCTCTTGATTAGGGCTGGAAAGGAGCCATTGGCAATAAGCCAGTTGCAACATGCCCTTCTTTTTCTTTTTTCTTTTTAGCTGGTGAGCAATAACAACATTCTCTCAATTCTGTGGTGGGTAAAGAGTCGGTTGATGTTTACTGAATACTGACTCTTGTCTTTATCTCTTAATCCAACATATAATGATTATCTTATCTAATGCTTATCATTAGACTATTACATATGATTGAAAATACTCTTGGTTAATGTACTTTTAGTTAATTTGTTTTGTTTGTTTCCCCCGTCCAGTAGGTAATGGTGTCGAGCACTTTTCAATACATTACATCTGTTTTTTAATACGTTACATCTGTTAATGGCGTCAAAATTTACAGCAGAGGATCTGGGATCTCTTGTTTGATGTTGCCGTAGAAGACACTAGTTGAAGAACAAGAAAGAAGTTCAAGCTTAGCAGTATATGGTTAGAGTCTGGATCTAGGGTTAGTGTAGCTTTAGTTGTCGGTGGATCCATTAACTTGTAAGCAAACGCTGTAGGGTCACCTAGGAAAGCATCCATGGCTGTTCAAGTTGTCATCTGTTGGTTTTCATCACCAGTTGTATTACTGATTGTAATGAAAATTTAACCATGCATTTACTTCCCACCTTCCAATTTGAAGAAACTTTATATGGAATTGAAAGTTCTCACAAAATGTAAAGACACAGATGACAATCAATATAATGTCAAAGTAAGATATTGTGTAAATATATATATATATATATATATATATATATATATTCATGTGGTTGATTTCGTTCACATTAGATTAAGACAATGACGAATTCACGATCAAGTCCAAACTTGAACAACCAAGTGGACAAGATTTAAAGTATTTACTATAATTAATGAAACATAAATTTGCACATGGTCAACTGGTGTAAAATATTTCAAATGTCAATTTGGTCGATGTTCATTTTTTTTTTTTAAAAAAAAAAAAAACCCAAGTTGTCAAGATCAACATTAACAAAGGAAAATGTTTTTCTAACTAGTATTGTCCTAAGATCAGTTGGCAAGTAAACCAAAGTTTAAATACTGGCTCACATGCTATGGTCCCATGTTTGTATGTCATGAAGGTCCGTCATACTTGTTTGGTGCAACTAATTTGAATTGCAGGACACCAACCAAATCGATGCCTGTGGTCCAGCAATCTATAAAATACACACACACACACATATATCTATATACTTGGCTTGATGATGTCCAAGAACACTCGGAGACTAAAAGTTAAAATACTTTCCTGTTAATAAGATAGATTATTCTTATGTAAATTATTCATGTTTGCACTATTTATACATATATAAAGTGCTCTATACTCCAATTGTGTGTTGAAATAATGTAATTAATTTAGGTTGTTCAAGCTTCAATTACATCTTATGGTTGACAGGAAGTTTGTTTATGCTCAAAAAATTTAGCAGTTGTGATTTGATTCTTCGTGCACAACATGAAAGTGTCTTATTCTTTTATCTCCTTAAAATTTAACCATGTATTTACAAATGTTTATTTAATACTTTATTTATTTTGTCTTCTTCACACACGTTTCTTATGTCGGTTATGTCAACATAACATGTTTTGTATAGTTTTATTCATAATATTAATTTTTCAATCTTTTATAAAGTCCTAACTCATAAAAAATTATACTATATATTTTTGGATTTTCTTGGGGCCCCTGCAAATACTTTCACCAACAATACTTGGATTGAATGATTTTTCAACAACAAATGCCCGGTTGAATCTTAATAACTCAATCAATATATATAAATATATATATTTTTTTAAATATTAAATAATTTGATCCATCTAATGAGATAATTGCAGATATCTCGATAGTCCAATACATTAATACCTTCGATGGACTTTAAAATGCCAGTATTTGACAAGATAATTCTAAATTACTTGATACCTTCGATGGACTTTAAAATGCCAGTATTTGACAAGATAATTCTAAATTACTTGACTTCATAGACGGTAACACTTTTAATTGTATTTTTGTATCTTAAATTTTTTGACATTTCGTTGTATGATTATGGAATTATTTCAATTGTCAGGTCAAGTACAGTGGAATAGAGCAACAAACCAAGAACTAAGTGACAGTCAAGCAAACGACATCGTATGTTATCTAGTAAGTTAATATAGTTAGGTGTCTCGTTGTAACATACAGTCTGACGAGTGTTTCAAATTTGAGTTTTTGAGTTGTCCCAACAACTCTCCACTTTACTACTATTAAAAGCCCAGTGACAGAATAAATGCGTAGCTATATACATATACATACACTAATATACATACATAAATATATATATATATATATAGTGTATATACATACTTATAGAGAGAGAATCTAACCATGGATGATGGGTCCATCTCCATCACTGCATCATAACTTCTAATTTCAGGTTCACCATCGCTTTTAAATTTACTTCCATTTCAATCAATCTTTCACTCCAACAATTTTGTTCCCATTTTTTTTTTCCCTCTTCTTTTGTAACATTTTTTTTTTCAATCTGTTCCATTTGCTCTCTCACTCGAAGATGTGTGTGTTTGTTTGTCAATTTTGCCACCAGAAATAGTAATTCTGGAGTCTCAACACTGTTTATTGCTCTGTTATGTAGCAGATCTGAGGTACATTTCTGTCAAACCTACTCAAATTAGGACCTTCTCTGTCCACTACTTGTTTTTGGCAACTGTTGTTATTTGTTTAGTTTGATGTTTGATTTTGTATTATTCTTCAAATTTTTTATTTTTCTTGTTTGAGTAAATTTTGGTGAATTACACTTTACTAAGTATGAATTTTAGAATTAATGAATGCAACAAGAATAAGTGCTTATATTTTAGCTCTTTTTACTTGATGATTGCATAGCAGATGATTTGGTAGACAAAATGATTCAATAAGTTCTGATTTTGCAGATGTTATTTTGTTTTTATTATTATTATTATTATTAATGTGAAACTGTTGCCTTTGAAAAATTATTTGAACCAGTTATTGTGCCGTTATCAGTTTTATGGGTACACATCTAAGGTCATGTTGTTTGATATACTAAAACAGTTTCGAATGGAGCTCGGCTTATGATTAAACCTTTTTGTTTCATTTTGCTGTTTATAATAATGTTTGCAGATAAATAAAACTTGTTTCTTGTAATTGCTCACCTTGTAGCTATGTAATTCAGGTTCCACTGTCTCTGAAAGGCAACCTTTCAGCAATGGGGAAATCTCCTGGGAAATGGATGAAGACTGTTCTTTTCAGGAAGAAGAAATCATCGAAAACTAGTTTTTCGAAAGTAAGGTTTTAGAAAGCTGTTCATAATTTATACACACTGCTGTCATTTAAACACAATCTGTGTATGGTACAGAAGATCATGTATGTTTGTTTTTCTGGAATGGCATTGTAGTTCTATGTGTTGTTTTTAACTTTTCATGAACTTCGGTTTGGGTTGAATTAATTATGGCATGGTATTATATTTATGCTGAATAAGCACAGCTCTGAAACCCCAATTCAGACAATTACGGTTTGGAGGTCTTATGTTTATTGTTGATAGATGGATTCAAAAATTAGCTAACAACCGGTCATCTGTCTATTCCATTTCCTGCTCAAAATATTGTGTTACATCGAATTTTCACAGGCTTTACACTTCTTCTTGATGAATTTGAAAGTTTGGAGTCTGCGCGCGCGCGCGCGTGTGTGTGTGTGTTTTGGGGGTTTTGGGGGGACAAGGCTGGTACTTCTTTTATGGTATTAATATACTCTTAGCAATATTACAAGTAAAACCTAAAATTCTAAATTGCAATTATCATCTCATGTGAAGGATGCTACAATTGAGAAAAAGGTATCTGTATTTGCTAAGGCACCATCAGAATATTTGTCTGCCGATCCTCCTGTGATCTCGGATCTGCCACCTCAGACCACTGATAGAGGTGGAGAAAACACACAGTTCGATAATGGTACAACTACCATGGGGTTGAATTCAGAAAACAATGCTGAGACGGCGAGGCAAGAGAAAGCTGCAACAAAGGCACAGGCTGCTTTTAGGGGTTACTTGGTAATATTTTTTAGCATAAGTACATTGCAAGTGCCGTGAACAGCTGTGCAGGAAATAATGAGCTTGGTTCTCTTATTCAGTTATGTAATATCTGTTCTAATGTACACATAAATATCTACTCAGGCTCGGCGTGCATTTCGGGCCCTCAAGGGCATCATAAGGCTGCAAGCACTTGTTCGTGGGCACTTGGTTAGGAGACAAGCTGTTGCAACTTTGCATTGCATGAAAGCAATTATTCACTTTCAGGCTCTGGTTCGTGGTCAAAGGGTACGGTTTTCTGATGCTGGGCGTGAAGTGCTTAAAAATCGCAATCTGAGAGAATTTCTGGTAACTTCTTGAAGGATATCCCACATTATTTGCATCTGTAACATGCCTTTCAATTCTTTTATAATAGAGAAAATATTTTTACATTTTTTTTTTTTTTTTTTGTGTGTGTGTGTATAATTTTCCATATTATTCCTGATGCTTTTCCATGCCTGATTTTTATGTGACAATAAATGAAATAGCACTTTGTGTAATTAAAGGAAAATATCTGGTCTTTACCAGTTTGTCCCTCCCAGGGCAGTTGATTAATGTGGACCATTCTGGTTAATGGCCTATTTTAGTGTATTTCGTTGGAATTTTACAGTTAAACAATCCTTGTCTCAATTATTTAGGATTGGTTGGAGAATCCCCATTTTTTCGTCTGTTTTATACAGAGCCATACTTTCTATTGTCACAACGGTCTTATTATCGATGGTCGGCTCAATCTTCTTACTTGTTCTTAACAATATCCATCATTTATTTTCTTCAACTTGAGCCAAATCACCCCACGCTGAAAAATTCTCTTCTTGAGATATCATCTCTGACTTCTCTTCTTGCTCTCACTTGGCTTGGTCTTAGGCCCTATCCATGTTATTCCCGTAATTCATCTCAGCATAGCTATGTGCAGTTTGTGGACACCTTGTTTGCTTCTTGTTTGAAACCCCGAAGTTCTAGTTTTAAGAATGTGACATCCTAAATGTTGCCTTACATTTTCATTGTTTGTTTTTCTCAACTTCAGTGTATGCTGAATGGACTTTTGAATTTGGCGGTTTCTTTGTGCTAATAATTCCATTTATTTATCTATATTCCTTCATCAGGATGCTAAGCGGTTGGAATTATTTGGAGTAACTACATTTCTGAGGCCAGAGAAGTTATCTACAAATGCATTTGTGACCAAGGTATATTCAACTTTTCTTTTTTAGATACTTGGGAACTTAATTCGTCTTACCTTTAGAATAAACCACTTAAGGAGTACAATATGTTCACTACTATGTTTTGTTATTATTATTATTATTATAGAATTTCTTCGGGCTTCTTTTCCTCTGCAGCCTGCCTATTTACAGCAAGGATATGCATATACAATAATGCACCATATAGCTAGGAAACTATATTTCTTTAACTTTTGATAATCAAAAGATTCTAGAAATACTTTTAAATATTTTAATTAGAATATTGTACTAAATATATACATCAGAATCAAATCAATGAAGTAATGATAAATGCAGAAATTTAAATCTTTCTCGTAATTATATAGCATACCATATGAATTTGGAATTGATGGCATCACACATTGATTATTTTAGCTTCTTGCTTCATCGTACACTACGATGCCCCTGAGCCTCCAGTATGATCCGGTTGAACCAAATTCAGTTTGGAGCTGGCTAGAACGTTGGTCATCATCCCGCTTTTGGGAACCACTTGCACAACCAAATAACTCGCAAAGAAATCAGGCTGATATCAAAACACTAGAATCAGAAAAAGGAAGGCCAAAAAAAGGTGTTGGGAAGTTTTCTAGACTAAACGGTGACAATGGTTCATTGCACTCCTTCACTGAACATGAAAAACCAAGACGTAACCTGCGGAAAACTCTGAACCATCAAGCAGAACCAGTGCAAGAGAATCCTCAAAATGAACTTGAAAGGGTAAAGCGCAATTTAAGAAAAATTTCAGCAACCACCAAAGAGGCTTTTGAAAAATCTGAAGTTATAAAAGAGAAGCCACGTCGCAGTCCAAGTAAATTGTCAAGCTCTCCCGCTGCAAATGTTTTGGAGCAGAGGATGGATGATTCTTCTGAGAAAAAGAGTCCAAAAAAAGTGTCAAGCTCTCCTGCTCCAGATGTTTCCGAGCAGAGGGCGGATGATTCTTCCAAGAAAATGATTGATTTAGCTGTCACACTGTCCGAACTGCCTGTCATAGAAACATCTCCAAAGGCACTGGCAGTGGATGAAGGAACTGACATGCTGTATGACTATCATCCTGCCGTTGATATGCATCATTTAGAAAATGGAGGGCATGTTGAGAAAAATCCCGCGGTTACTGAGGAATTAAGCTCCAAGGAAGATCAAGCCAGCAAGGAGAATCAGAGAACCAGGAGGAGATCTTTCCCTGCAAAACAGGAATATTCGGAGAATGTCTCACAGAACACTCCAGCCGTGCCAAGCTACATGGCAGCAACGAAATCGGCAAAGGCAAAACTTAGAACACAAGGATCTCCAGGGTTTGATCAGGATGGGGCAGAAAATGTTTATGCAAGGCGTCATTCTGCGCCATCCTCCACTAATGGCAAATCGGGCATGCTGTCTCCTCGAGTGCAGAGGGTGGTAAAAGAAATTGGCAGAGGGGGAAATAGAATGGACAAATCACTGTCGTCTTCTAGAGATGGTAAAGGTAGGATTCATGGGAGCTCTTGCAATTTATTTTTCACTACTTTTGTCATGCTATTTATTGATACTCTTTTTCATGGACTACCAAAATTAACGTGGGATGAAGTTACTAGGAATGACTTTAGAAACTAAAACATATTAGGTAGGATGACGGGTAATAGAAACTTAGGAAGGAATGGAGACACAGAATTTTGTCTGACTCCATTCATATGGGGATGATGATGACGATGATGATGATGAGTCATGTCTCATATTAATAGTCAAGTTTTGTGAAGTTTTATTATAAAAGACGTAAATGGATCTCATAGTCAAAATTGAATTAAATCCCGAATAAAAATGTTTACGGGGATAATTTGAGGTGGGAAGCTTTAGCTATGTTTTTCCTTGTTCTAATTGCTAGAAGCTTTCCTGTTTCAGTTCTCCAACTACTACCTTTCCTAACTTAGTAGTGGCAGAAGTTTTGTTGAATCTGAATAGCATAATATGTTCACAAGTTGTAAATATGATTGCATATTGTCTTGAAATGCAAATGCATGACATTTTTCGACATCAGAATTCCTGTTTATTTGCAATGTCAATAGCTTCCTGGTTTCGATATCTCTGAATTTTCTGTGTTTTTCTAAATGATTTTGCACGTGGTACTTTTTTGTAACAGAGAAGGTGCTCCAGCCGGGGTGGAGAAGGTGAAAGATGACTTCTTGGCAGCAGCTCTTCGTCAGTTCTCATTCCGCAAATTAATTCTGTTCTAAAATATGGAATGGAACTCCAAAAATAATAGTTGTTTTAATGTACCCACTGTCTTTCTCATGTTTTTACACTTTTTTACAGTATGTTCATCACCTGCAGTGTGTGTTGGTTCTAGTTAACATCATTCATGTGGCTTATTCTTTATTGTTCTGTTTGTCTGTAGAGAGCATTGTAAGATGTGTGAAAGCTTGAACATGGTTGATAAACAGTATAACATTAGAAGCTGCAAATTGTTGTTTTCACCTTTTCCTAAATTATCCTTTTCTCAGGTAGTGTTTTGTGGTTATCATCATCAGAGATGATGCAGTTTTTATAATATAAAAGCAATATATTAATTTACTTTATTTCTATAAACAGTATCACATTTTCAACACACACAAAAAATGTGTTGTTGCACGAAAACATGACCTAACTGTGTTGAACTATTGTTAACACATTGTGTTATGTTTTATGTTTCAATCAGGAATGGAGCCAGAAATTTATTTATAGGGGCACCATGTTGAATAGGATAAAATGTTGTTTTCCTTGCCCTAACGGTGCAACAAGACAATAGACTGAAATCAAAATTCATATGGTATCTAATAATTACAAAAACAATTGTTAAATAAATAAATAAATAACATGAAACATAAAATACGGATATTGTGGGTCCTTTTGACAAAAAGTTATATTTTGCATTTTTGATTTCATATGAAGCAGAATAGTAAAAAGTGAAATAGATTTTAGAAATGGAAAATATTAAAGATTAGTAAAGGCATTATTAGATTTTGAGAAACTCTCAAGAATGCAATATTACAAAAGAGTAGGGACGGAGCCAAGATTTAATTTTAGGTGTGGCACAAAGTAATACTTTACAAATTATATAGTTATATGTATAAAAAAAAAATCAAGCCCATGGGTGTTTTAGAAAGAAAAATAAATTTCAAGAGGACACAAAATAGTATTTTATAAATTATATACCTATATGTAAACAAAATTCAATGGGCCAGCTTGGGCCAGGGTGGCACGTGTGTCCCGGGCCTAATATATATTATTTGTAAATTTCATGATTTGTGTGTTAAAATATAGGAAGTACTAGACTTTTCGTATGGTGTTGTGGCGGTATCGAACGCTCAGACACTTATAGGATATGCGAATACGGCTCGAACACGTGTCGAATATGACTAGAATTATCCTTAAAATTGAATATTTTATCTACTATTTCGATATTGCTGGAACACGACAAGGATATGTTTTGAAAACTGATATGCGGGATGATTTGTAATTATTTTTAAACAAAAATGGAATTCAATACAATTTAAAATATATTATGGATTAATTTTAAAAAATATATAAATATTTAAGAAAATAAAAAATGACAAACATATATAACCTTAAATTTCAAATTAGTGATTTTATTTATGATTACAAAAATAAAATTGTAAAAAAAAATTAATAATATTTATATATATAATAATATATTATATTTTATTTTTTTGACGTATCCATAATTTTTCTGTTATATTCATGTCTTATTTTTTTTTATTTTAAATTTACCATAATTTTCATATCATGTCCTACTCATATCTCATGTCAGTATTTGAACTTCCTAAGTTAAAATGATAACGTATTTGTGTCCAAATAAAAATACTTAAATGATTATTTCATTTTGCGAGTAAAATTAAATTTCTCATTTCATATATTAATATTTTATTTTAAATTATTAAACTGATCAAACAGTCAACTAACAGGACGGAGTGTTATAAATCAACGTCACGAGTTTCACAAGTTTACCGTTATCATTTCTTCTTCATCTTCATGAGAGAGAGTATGACTCGCACCAATATGACACGCGTCCAAACCGAAAGCAAAACATTCCAAAAATAGAAAGATACAGATCAACCGTCAATTCCAGAAAGCTTCAAACACCAACCATTTTCGATGCCTACATATAGAAAGCTTGAAACACCAAAACGTTGATGCCTACGCATCTACATTTGACCGACTCAATCCTCCAAGAACTTCACACACTCTGCGTGCGTTTTCACACACATACACACAGACATAGAGTAATCATTTACAATGACAGACGAAACAACCTACCCCATGGTGTACTTCAACATCAAGATCGGTGGTCACTACGAAGGCCAAATTCTCTTCGAGCTCTACAACGACACCAACCCGCGCACGGCCGAGAACTTCCGCTGCCTCTGCACCGGCGAGAAGGGCTACGGCCTCGCGGACCGCCCTTTACACTACAAAGGCGCCAAATTCCACAGTGTCATCCCCGGATTCTACTGTCGGGCCGGCGACATCACCACCAGAGACGGCACCGGTGGGGAGTCCATATACGGAGAGAAGTTCGAGGACGAGAACTTCACCAGAAAGCACACGGAGAGGGGAATGCTTTCAATGGCGAACAACGGACCGGACACAAATAATTCGCAGTTCTTGATCTGTTTTAGGAAGGCGGAGGAGCTGGACGGCAAACATGTGGTGTTCGGTAAGGTGATTCAAGGCATGGAGGTGGTGGAGGCCATCGAGAATTTGGGGTCGCCATCGGGGAAGATGGAGAAGCCTGTTGTGGTCATGGACTGTGGTAAGTATCCTCACTGTTGAGAAGGTTTGGATCTATATATGAGTGGGAAGATTATGAAACTACTTACCCAAAAAAAAAAAAAAAAAATTATGAAACCCTAGCTAGCTAGAAAGTAAAATAATATATATATATATATATATATATATATATATATATATATATATTTGTAACATCTTCAAGGAAGATTTGTACTATACTGTTAATCGTGTTATTTTTTTCATGTCTCACTCTTATTCTTCTTTTTTCCTCTAAAGGTGTCACCACATGTGCTCCAGTACTGTGATATGAAACTATTGGAAACGAAATCGTCTCGAAGATAACTTTATGTGCATTTGATTCTCTTTAAACTCCATTGACAAGTCATTTTTCACATCAAATTAATGTTCACCAAATAATTAAATTTGTTCAATATATTCCATTTAAAAAGGAATAATAAATCAGATTAATATTGGGATTGCTCTGCTGGTCAATGTTGATAAATCTAGCTACTTCCTATTTAATTTTTGCCAGAAACGAAGCCAAGGACAATCAAAGGAGAAGCTAACATCATAGCACACTTCATGCGAATTAATTAATTAATTAAAGCAACACTAAATATCGAAACTTTTAACACTTAAAAATTTATATATATATATTGGATAAAACATTGATAAGTTGATAACGAGTCATTCTTCACACCTTAATTAAGAATGCCTGATTATTTTTTCATATCATATATTGATAAGGTACATAAGAGTGTGGATAGGTAGGTTCACTGGAGGACACAAAAGGCGAAGAGTGAAGTACCTCCAGTAAAGGTTTGGAATACCACTCCAATGCTCACTCTATAACCATTCCCTACATAAATGCACCCTGGCTCACTGATATGCCACCATAAACGGTGGCTCCGGTGTCATGTGACCATAGAATTTTTCCGGTCTTAATTAGCATTCATGGCGTAGATCGATCCTGTACGTTTTATATGAGCAGCCAGCAAACAGGACGCCGTTAGCCACCGTCACCGGACCATTGGAAGTGGCATTGCTAGGGTTAGCAGCAGACCACAGGATTCTGCCAGCACGAGCGTCCAGTGCCACCCATCCGCCTGCAGTTGTAGTTTTGTTGGATGGTTTGAGAGTGAAGTTTTTACGGTCGCTGTTGGCAATGTTGGTGTAAACCCTCTGCTTATCTGTGGCTGCTCCCCATGTACCTCCTCCATAAACCCCCACCATCATCAGTACATTCACCATTTTATATGTGTGTGTGTGTGTGTACTGAACATATATTTTCAAGAAGCGCCAACACATGTATGAACGAATGTATTGTATCACACATGAAGGCGTTGTTCTTGTTTCTTTTTTAAACCTCAATACTCCACCTCCATTTAACGGCCTAATGATTGTTCTATAAAATTTTCCTATATATACTCACCGTAGAGGAGCTGAGTATATATAGGTTTCCGGTGGCAATGTAGACAAGGTTTCTGTGAGTATCAATGGAAGGGCTGCTTCCCCATATAGTTGCTCCGGCGCACTCTCCGGTGATGCCGTGATTGTCAGGCACCATGAAGGTCTGCCACACGTTGGATTGGGCTTGTTCAACTCTTTTGGACTTATTTTTGTAATAGTGGAGTAGTTGTCCCAGTGTTTCTACTTTCGGGCCAATGGTCCTGCTCACACATGTGTTATGGGCTTTGTACATTTCAACACATATGTACAAATTTGCTTTGGCCTTCCGGGGATCGAAATGCAACATCCTGCAACATACTACGTTGTGTTGCAACATATAATACCGTTAAATAAAAAATTCAACACCTTTATATAATAATTATATTATAAATTTAAAGTTATTACATCATCGGATGCCCTTCTTTGAATTTTAACAGGGGATAGATGAGATTCAACCGTTGACAGTTTTAACGGCTAATCCCTAGCCAATGGATTGGGCTCACCATAACGGGTTCAGCTTCATCCGTTTGGGAATTAGTTTAAAACAAACAGAAGCTAACTTGCAATAATTAGCTTACCACAACCAAACAGAAGCTAACATCACACCCCTTCATATTAATTTAAAACAACACTAAACTTCAATAATTGAACACTTAAAATAAATACAAACATGTATACTATAAAACATTGATAACAATATATTGCACGCATTCTTCACATCTGAATTAAGAATGCCTGATTATTTTTTTCTGTTACTGAGATGGATGGTACTAAATAGGAGTGTGAGTAGGTAGCTTCACCATTCAATGGAGGATACAGAAGGCGAAGAGTGAAGTACCTCCGGTAAAGGTGGTGAATGCAATGCTTCCAAGGTTAACTTTATAACCACTCCCCACAAATATGCATCCCTGGCTCACTGAAACGCCGCCATACACGGTGGCTCCAGTGTCGTGTGACCACAGAATCTTTCCGGTCTTAGCATTCATGGCGTATACCGGTCCAGTTGGATATGTGGAGCCAGCAAATAGGACACCATTAGCGACAGTGACCGGACCATTGGAAGTGGCATTGCTAGGATTAGCAGTGGACCATAGGATTTTGCCGGTGTGAGCATCCATTGCCACCCATCCGCCTGCAGTTGTGGTTTTGTTGGTGGGTTTGAGAGTGAAGTTCTTGCCTTCATCGTTGGCAATGTTGGTGTAGACCCTCTTTTTGTCTGTGGCGGCTCCCCATGTACCTCCTCCAGCAATCCCACCAGGTCCACTCTCCTGCATCATCAACCATTTGTAAACAATCCATAGATGTGAACTCGGATTCTCATACTATTCAATCCATTGCAGCATAAGAAAGAGTGAAGATCACTCCACATGAGATGAGGTTCTCCGACCGTACCCATGTTCTCAATTCCGTGGAATTAATGAACATTAACATTAAGCAATTACCGTTTGACATGAGTGTGGTACCTTATGAATATATTTATTAAAAAAATAAATTTAACATTTTGAAGACCACACACATATATGTATATTAATCTTAAATTCCTAATCATTGTCAACATAAGTATTACAAACGCATTTAGCTTAAAAGAAGTTAAATCCTACAATTTAATGTTTCCCAGCCTTCTCTTTAATTTTAAATAAAAATTTTGACATTTTGTACGCAAATGGTATCATAATTCAAACACGAAAGGACATTTTTTAACATAGGACAACGATATAATAAAAGGTTAACAATATATTAAGCAAGTAGTAGCATATGTTGTATCAAAATAATAATCTTCAGAAATATTTGATGCTTTATCTTCCACACAACAATTCTTATTATATATAATCAATGTTCTATAGTTTTCATTTATATACAGACAGAAAATGTGTATAAATAAAAGTTTGTATGAACTGCACTACATATATATCTACTTCAAGTATTGTAAGATTTGAGTTGTCACATATCATATAATATCCAATTTTGATCAAAAAGTATATATATATATATATGTGTGTGTGTGTGTGTGTGAAGAACTATATGAATTAAGCTAGGCATCTTACAGTAGACCAGATAATGGCGCCATCATCGCGATCCAAAGCCCATGCAAATCCACTTTTCTGGACAGCCACAACAACATCTTGTTTGCTTCCATTAACATGTATGCTTAGCATCATTGGTGCCTCCCCAAAATCTGCGTCCGGGTTAGGACCAGGAGGGCAATTTGGGAACGCCGAGAGGTTATTGCATATAAAGAACCACACATCATAACCTCCCAGCTGCCTATACCACTTGATCATTCCAGTGTCCAAATCAAACGCCATTATTGAATCAGAATGATTTTCGGGCTCGACACACTCGTCTGGTTGAGTAGGCACGGTCTGATTGTTCTCTCTTTCTTGACATTGTCGTATACGTAGAGGAGCTGAGTATAGGTTCCCTGTGGCAATGTAGACAAGGTTTCTTTCAATATCTATGGAAGGGCTGCTTCCCCATATGGCAGCTCCGGCGTACTCTCCGGTCACGCCGTGGTTATCAGGCACCGTGAAGATCTGCCACAGGATGGCGCCTGTTCGGACGTCTAGTTTGGCAAGGCTGCCACGGAAGGTGCAGCATTGCTCAACGCTGGTGACATCTTCTTCCAATGAAGATGTTCCAACATAGAAACCTCTGTAACAAGTTAAGTAATTAATTAAATAAATTATCGATCATCGCTAGTTTATTATATCTGTATCACAAGCCAAAGCCCAGTCAAGTTATAGATTATTCACTATCTCTGATCTGATTTTGTGCAAATGCAACAAGAAACAGTTTTTTTAATCATATAATTAATAATTGATTATTTGGTTTGGAAGGAAAAAGAATTTTGGTCAGACCATAATTTGGTTCAAGTTATATTTTGTGCACAAATTAAAAAACATAATGATAGAGTTCGACAGTCAAACAACTTCATAATGTTGATCCTACTTATAAAAATCAGTCGACACTCAATTATTTTTCATTGAAAAAACAAAATTATACACAAAAAAATAGAAACGCTAATTAACTCAAATTAGGGCACGCTCTCTAGTCCATTTGACTTTTGAGATAAGACAAGATGTTGGTGGTCAACTCTAGGCTATTGATGATTACATTAAATTAATATTTGTATGCCACCTAGTAATTTTGATTTCTTCTTTTTCTATATGTTTGAAAAGTCATATTACGTAAACAATTAATCTCTTTAATTTAGTTTAAAACAGCTTATTTCAGGGATTAGATACAAATTAACAATACATTAGCTAGCCCGTGAAGTGTTGAATTTTCAACCATGCATGTATCAGATAGCTTGTTAAGATGTCTATTAGTCAAATTTTGTAAAGTACGGGTTTATCTTGTTCCAAAGTAGCACACCATTGACATAAGCATTAATAGAAGAATAATAATAGGGATTAATAATTGGATAAATTTAATTAATTTTTTATGAATAGAAATTAGTGATATATAAATCAGTTAGAATTGTCAAACTGCAAATTATTATTCCTAATCTAAATTTATATTGTGAGTAATACAAACTTTTCACGTATCCAAAACAAGAAACTTAGAACCAAAAAATATATATATATTAATTTAATGAATAACAGTCATTATAACATATAACAAAAATAATGGTAAAAAAATTTATGCATGACTGACCCTTTATGAAATGTCCCGGACATGGTGATAGTACCAACGGGATGGCTATCAAGCCTGGTGGACCAGACCAGCTCTCCGGTTTCTCGTTTAACAGCAATAACAGCAGCAGGTCCATAGATTCCGATGATTAGCAGATCGCCGGCTACCGTCGGAGTTGATCTGGACACGGTTGTAGTAACATTAGCAATGAAAGTTGGTGCACTAAAACCAGTTAGGTTTTGCAGGTTTTGTTTCCAAACAAGCGAGCCGTCGACAGCTTTGACGGCATAGAGATAACCATTCCAGCTTGGGAAATAAAGGATGCCATTGAAAATTGCAGGAGTTGCAGTGATGTCTTTGCCTGCGTAGAATGTCCACTTGAGACGTAGCTTCGAGACAGTTGAAGGGCTGATCTTGGTTTCTCCATAGGCGTATCTACGGTTGTATATATCACCACCGTGGTTTATCCAGTCTCCTGCAGCTGAATGTCTTTTTTCATGCCACTTGAACCAACCACAACACCAGTTATTAGGTTATATACATACATACATATATATATATATATATATATATATATATATATGTTTGTGTTTGTGTGCGTGTAATTGAGAGAGAGGGTCTTACATGTGTAGCAGAGCTAGGACTGATGATAAGTAGGCAAAAGATGCATAGAAATTGGATAGAAATAATACTCTTATTGGCTTGGGCTGGTGCCATGGAGGTGGAAGTCCTGTACTCCTCTTGTTGAGATTGAAGTAGACTTTGGCATTTTCCAATATATATAGAGAGAAAAAATTGAATTCTATGCATAATTAATAGAATTAGTTTTTATTATTATTATTATTATTATTATTATTTTAAAAAAAAAAATAGCCTAAACCTAGCCCGAGTTGACCTTAAAGCATAAGTTGGGTAACCTATTTCGGCCTTAAGGAGTTGATAAAAGTAAGAAATAAATTTTATATGCCTCAGCTATTCAGGCCCAACATTTTATTGTTGAGCTTGACGCAAATTAGTAGTGAAAGTAAATATTAAATACACATGGTGGCACCAAGTAATTAGTACATTCGAATCAATAAAAATTATCATAACAATTAATTGTGAATAAATTTTAAAAATAAGTAATTGTAAATTATATCAGTAACTTAATATGCTCGACACATTTGATGGTGAGAGGGACTCACATCTATTCTATCTCCCAACCGATCAAAGTTACTTCAATCGTGTAATTAGCTTCAAATGTTGGGCCAAAATATCATTATCTTAAAAAAAAAAAAAAAAAAAATGTAAACATTACTGTAGTTGATATGTGACATGCTGAACAAGTGACGGTTGTGGGCCCCACAGGTCCCACCTCTTATTAAGGCAGCTTGATTTGGGTAGGTAGTGGCACGAATGGACAAGTGAGGGAGTGTGACAATTTTTTCTTCCCGAGACTAATCGACAACTTGCGGATATGACACGCAAGAAAATGAGTGCTTGGAATATTCTTAGAGAGAGTAAGAAACTATTTATCTGGATCACTCGCTTACCTTAAGTTAAGGTTATACATGATCTTCAAATGATTTTTCATTGATTTGAGTATGAATTCCTGAAATAAGAAAGGTAGTGTTAACCTCTATCAATCCCCTAAAATTCATTCTTTAAATAGAAAGTTGTTCACTATTTTCGATAACTAGTTACAAAATTAATAACTAAGCATTCCAAATATAATGAAATAATTTAATAAGTGATTTTTTTATTTTCCCTAAAATTCACATTAAAGTGTTGTTTAATAATTATCACTTTATTGTAAAATAACAATAAATTAAAAATTATCTCAATTTACAATTACTAAATTAAAATCAACTCTTAAAACTCCCAAATATATCAAACCCCTAATTCTCCATAACCCTCTCCACCAAAGCTCAATCGATACAATAAGCATCACCCACACCGAAATGAAAGAAAATGGGTCATAATTTTTTGACAACAGAACCATACATTAGTAACTGATTCTCTCTCCATCGCCTTTAATTAAAAGGAAGAGCAACCATACATTAGTCACTCACTATCTCTCCATTGTCCATGTTTGGCATCTTTCCAAGCACCCAACTCCATTCAAAATGGCGTATGCAACATGCAACTTTTGGACAGTATTATTCCCAACAGAAACTAAAAATGACTCAACAGAAGAAAGGAAGATGGAAATTGAACCTCAAATTTCCCACCAATAAGACCCTCCTTCCCCACCTCTAGATCACAATATAGCTATCTCCTGCAAATCCCAATCATGCAATGCCCTGATGAAACGAAATCCTATAACACTTCAAAATTCTAACACTATCACAAACTCCAGCATCATCATCCACTGTGATGCTGTAGAGGCTCCAAACTATTATTTGGAATCATTTAGAAAATTGCAGAAGTTCTTCTTTCTAGTGGTATTATAGATATTGGCCTGTGAAGATCAAGGAGAGATTACACTATTTAGGATGTAACTAGAGTCCAATTAGATGATCTTGTCAGCAACTTTGCAAAGACAAATTGTTCAAATCATTTAAGAAAGTGATTGGATCATATTCCAAATCACCTTTGCCATCCTAGTGAATGGCTAGGCCAGAATACATGAGCAGCCAAGTTTTGATGTACAAAGCAAACCATATGCGATAAATGGCGCTTCAAGATTCTCTTTACGGCTTTCTCTGCATCAATTCACCTCCATACTAGTAAAAAGTCCTCTGAACCATTCCATTTCTCAAAAACAGAAGAACAGGCATTATCTTCGAAGACCCCACCTTGGCCTTTTTTGGCTTTTCAAAATGATTCCATCTCCTTGACATAGAACACATGCGAAAGGGAAAAGAAATGGAAGTGAGAAAAATAGAAATGAACTTAAGGTTGTGTTTGTCTGCCGTTGGGCTTTGGCGACCGGAGAGGATGGTTATGGTGAAATGGAGAGGCATGTGGACCATTTGGAATGGAGAAGCTCCTCGTTGGCTGCCCATTCTTTGATACCAATCCTGCCTGAAGTAGTCTACTGCCATGTCTAGCATTTTTATTCATCCCCGCACGCTCAACCTGCATGGCCTGGAAGTAGGATGAGGAACAGGCCATGTCCTTGAGATTGGGCAGAAGCTTCAGGGATTCAACAACTTCACTCATCAGAGGTCTGGCTTTTGGGTCACGGCTAAGGCAATGGGCAGCCAGCTGAGCTGCTTTCTGTGCACCTTTGATTGAGAAGCGACCTTCAAGGCGGGGATCTATTAGCCGGTAGAACCTTCGCCTCTCTCCAAGATACGGTCGCGCCCATTCTACTAGGTTATGCTCCCCATTTGGTCGGCTTTTGTCCATGGATCTTCGGCCCGTCAACATTTCAAGTAAAACCACCCCAAAGCTGTAGACATCACTCTTTGATGTTAAATGTCCTGGAACAAAATGGATAGCATTAGATAAAGATAGTTACAGATAAAGATAGTTACAGAAAGAAGCTTTGCATCATCATTCCTGCTCTTGCAAGTGGCGATGCATCTAAATTGACCTAAATGTCCTCACTTCATATATTTTATCCTACATGAATACAAACTAATTCTATTTATCTTGAAATTGTCGCCATTTATTTTATCAATGCAAAGAGTTGAACCAGAAACCCTAGGCCACCCAACAGAAGCCACGATCACCATGCTGCAACAGCATGGGCATAAATTGTCAATGTACCTTATGATTCATAAGTAATATAATTTGCCTCAGGAAATGAGTTATATATTAATTATATGAAATTCACGATTCTATAACTATGTTGAGAACAAGTTAACGGCACCAAGAGAAAGACACTGTAGAAGGGTCATCAGGAATTATGATACATTCAATTGAAGTTTTCCTATAAAGGAAACAGCAATCCATCAGAAGAGATGTCATGGAGTGGCATGCACAGAAGAAAAATTCTTGGCTGCCATTAGCCTCACGTATTAATGCCATGAAACTGGGTAGATAAAAAGGGTACATGAGGGAGAGAGATTATAATGTGATTCAGGATCCAATGAACGACGAAGGTAATGCATCACAAGAATAATAATATTAATCAAAAGGGCACACATGCAAAATGTCAGCCACATGAAAAAAATAGTTATTATTACATAAAGAAAAGAATAGAGATAAAGTCTATTCACATCACCTGTCATCACATACTCCGGGGCAGCATAGCCATATGTTCCCATTACCCGGGTAGATACATGTGTCTTGTCTCCCTCCGGGCCGTCTTTGGCAAGTCCAAAATCAGAAAGCTTAGCATTGTAGTCCTGGAGAAACAAGTTTAAGAAGCATAATAAGACAATGGACAAATACCATGTGATATGAACATATAAAAAATATGTGCATTACTTATCAAAACATGTGGATGATACGAACACAAGTTTAAGAAATATGTGCATGCTGGAAATACTACTCCAACTGACATGTCATGTTGGCCTTGGACATGTGCCTAATAGCCGTATCTAATAAAATCCAGTTTTTTAAAGAATTGTACATAAAAAGCCTCTTATTATATTGTTTTCTTACATTATTGCTTCAAAAGAAATGAAGTATGTTGAACACTATGTTATATAAAAATATTATTTTGCTTTAGAAAAAGAAGAAAACTTTATAATCTGAATATTCAGCCGTGTAATTCTCAGTTGTCATTGCATTTTGGGATTTGATAAATCTAATGATTAGCTATATAACTGGACCCAACACACGTACCCGAGTCCATGTAATAAAAATATAGTATGGTTCAAGAGTTTGAGCCACATACTGCATCTAAAAGGATGTTAGAGGTTTTAAAATCTCGATAAATAACTGGTCTTTCAGCTTCCTCATGAAGAAAGGCAAGACCATTTGCAGCACCAAGCGCAATTTTCATTCTGGTAGACCAAGGAAGAGGCAACGATCCTGCATGCAGAACATAACTGTTATCCAGCAACACTAAAATTGGAAACTGGATATAAAAACATTGATAATAATCATAAAGTAATCATTAAAATGTTCCTACCGTATGATCCTGCAAAAGGAGAAAGGGAGAAGGGGGGGAATGTTAGATTTTGGCAATTTGGCGTTTTTACGATTAGACCTGTTAATGGATTGAAATTTCATTGGGATTCTATCAGTTAACCATATATCTGGTACAAAGTTCTGATCTGAAAACCCAAATACAGTCTGAATCCAATAATTCTGTAAGTAAAAGGTCACCAAGGGTTTAATTTCCATGTCTTGTGGAATACAATTAATTGCTTGGAGTATAACATTCATTTCCAATAAAATTGTTATGAACTCCAGAGTTTTTTTAATGCAGTTCTGTTTCTGCTTTTTCCTCTAACCATAATGGAAGCAACCAAAGTCAAACTAAGGATAGATAACTCATGTGAAGAATAAATCAAGAAAGCATCCCCAGAACTTCAGGGCCATTCTACAACTAGTAAACATCAAATATGGGAGTAACATATATATAATACAAGCTTTATATCAAGATAATTGAAATTGTCATAACAGATTATGATACTTCATGTCATAAGTATGAAAATTGAAAGTGAGCACAGTTATTTCCTTTTCTAAGCAAAGAAAAACATACTACCCTCACACAGAACATAATAATAAGAATGGAAGGTGTTGAATATTTATATATTTAAGTTACACCCTCTCTAATAGCTTAAACTTTTGGAGTAGATGATTGTTAACAGAAGGTATTCTGAATGTACTGCATATATGCACAACATAAGCCAGATTCTTGCGGTAAACTTTCAACTGTCTCCTCACAAAATAATTTAATAAACCATTCATTCAGGGTTACAAATGCAACATGACATTTTTATCCGACACTATAAGGTTAAATAATTGGGGTGCAAGACATATGTACAAAATATTAAATAATAAATTTCAGTCACATACTTCTGAAAAGATGATTCTCCAAGCTTCCTCGGGGCATAAACTCATAGACAAGCAGCCTTTGATCATCCTCGATACAATATCCAATTAACTTAACCAAATTAGGATGAAGGAGGTCACCAAGAAAATTTACTTCAGCCTGCAAGAAAGGGAAAACCAACAAATAGGAAGGAAAAAAAAATAATCAATTATAGCTGATTAAGTACAACAAAAGTGACATGTACCAAGTCTTCCAAATAAAAATAAAAAATAAAAACATATGTGGAGATTTCATACAAGCCACTCCTTGTGACCCTGAAGTCCATCGTGATTGAGGGTTTTTACTGCAACAGTAAGCCCTGTTCCAGCTTTCACTGGTGTGGTTCCATTCTCGTTGATCCAACCTTTGAAAACACATCCAAAGCCACCCTGACCAAGGAGACTCTCAGGTCGAAAATTTCTCGTTGCTGACTTAAGCTCATTAAAAGTGAACTTTCGAAGCTGAGAAGCAATTTTCAGCTCGTCGCCAATGTTGGGAGTCGATGGAGTACTTTCCGTATTGCTAGTGGTTGAAGATGATACAATTGGAGCAACTGGTTGGTCTCTGCTTGTATCATTTGTAGATTTACTTTCCTCTGTTTTACACACGAAAACACCAGAAAATATTCTCAAAGATGCCCCCATATAATGCATACCATTGGCTACATGCTCAGTGCAAATGCAACAATTAGAAGTTCATACTTGTAGAAATCCCATACTGATTGATTGATTACCAACACGGTCTTTATTATAAAAAAAATGTAAATCTATAAGAAGCTCTAAAGCACAACCAATGGTATGAAAAATGAAAATTTTAGAGACTCTTTGTTAAAGCTAAATCACAAGCCTACAACCTATAATAAGGACTTTAGTGCATCAAATTGAAGGATCAAAACCAAGAGAATATTTCTCTTTTTTCTAGAATAACGCAAAGTATACACCAAGTCCCAAATAATAGGTCAAGACCCTGCTAACTTGAGCATTATATTAATCTCATCCTTGTATATCATTTTTTGTTGAAACTATTATACCTAGAGATGCAATTATCATACAAAAATTGTCAAAATTGTATTTTTTGCCATTGTAATATATAAATGTGGTCTGAGCTGCCTGCTTATTTTTTTTATTTTGTGGGATCATTTTCCCACGAGAAGTAATGAGTTTTTATTTTTGGGTTGAGCAGGGGGGTTGTTGTAACAACAACTCCTCCCAAAAAAACAAGTAAATAAATAACAAGATTCATTTCACTTAACAAGACTAATCCAAGAAAATCAAATAAGCAAGCAACAAAAAGAGAAGTGAAGTAAACATCCCCAATAACTTCATGTGTTTCAAAATGTCTTTAGAAAACCTTTTCTTTTTATAAGTATAGTGTATGTTGAAAACCTATGATATGTAAACACCTCTCCTTGCTATGGTTAGTGCACAAACCTAGGATACACAAATTGTAGTATGAACCTGTGGTGATTCTGGTGAAACATGTGTACCCTTACACAAGTTTGGGGTTTTCAGAGAACTTCCCTCATGGTGGTACAAAGTATAAATACATTGTAAGTTTTCCCTTTGTTATCAGAAATCTTAGCAATATTTACAAGAAAACTATGTCCATAACGGGCTATAATGATGAGCTACTATATATTTTCCAATTCTGTCCCCTTTCATAATAGGTGGCCAAGAAGTAAAGAATAAAAAGAGACAACTTTATCCGATCTCTATAAGCTCAAGTTGATTATATCTTATGAATCGAGGTATAATCAACAAACTCATTAATACCAAGTACATGTGACGACGAAAGACAATAAGATGTGCACTTAATAATGTCAGAAATATTAGAGATATTTACAAGAAAATTATGTCCATAACGGGCAATAACGGAGAGCCACTATATATTTTCAAATCTGTCCCTAAAACCAAGAAGTAAGGAATAAAAAGGGACAACTTTGTCTAATCTCTGTAAGCTCATGATGATTGTATTTATGAATCGAGGAATAATCAACTATCTCATTACTACCAAGTACATGTAATGACAGAAAAACAATAAGAAATGCACTTAATGTTATCAGACATGTTAGTGATATTTACACGAAGAGCTCTTTTGGAAACAAAAGTCCCGGCACGGAGACACCAGTTTCCAGTTTTTTCACAGGAAAACCTGATAATAACAAGAAAACTATGCCCATAATGGGCTATAATGATGAGCAACTATATATTTTCCAAATCAACAAATTCATTACTACCAAGTACATGTGACGACGGAAAACAATAAGAATTCAATGGACATGTACAAAGGGCAAAAGATTAGAATAAGATAATCTTGAATACCAAAAACGTCACTACAATTCCTATGGAGACCAACCTTTATCAACAAATACTAGAAAAGATTACGACACCACTACAAGCTCTTAAGATCAATAATTAAATTTAATCTAATATACACTTGAAAATACAGAAATGGAATATATTGAATATTCATATAAACCAATGGATAGACATCAGAAAATGCAACAGCTTTCCAACAAATAAAGACCACCAAATTTACCAAAACAAACATAACAGCATACAAAAATGAGGCAATGATTTTATTTAAAATCATAAAAAAAAAAAAAAAAAAAAAAAAATTAAATTAAATAAAAAAATAAGAAGGTTTGAGATGAAAAGAATACCATATGGTGTGCTAGTGCCACTCATAGAGCTATCAACATTGGACCTTGAAGACATACAGCTCCCCAAGAACCTAAACTTAATCCAACACCCTGTATCTTCATCATCTTCATCTTTCTTTTTCCTATCCTTTGATTTGCCCACACCCCAAGTCCCCACCTTTACAGCATCAGGAGCTAACCCCATTTTCTCCTAACCCTAGAATTAAATCCCCATATATATTAAAATAAAAATCAATACATCAAATGCCTCCCCTGTAATCAAACTGCCCCAACTCAAACACTCCAAACATCAAAACCCACTGAAAAGATGAATCAAAAAACACCATAGGAACATTTTATAATAAATTTTTAAAATATATAGTAAAAAAAACAATTTAAATTCTGGGAAACCCAAAGAAAGATACCCTTTTGAGAACTGACAAGACTATACGAAACCCACAAAGCAGCCACTCAAACCAGATGAGAGAGAATGGGGTCAAAAGGGCTTAGAATCCTCAATCAACCGTGACCCACAACCCCAGGGAATTCTATGGCTAGCATATTAGCATGAATGTAGAAATTCTTCAGAGCATTGAAAAAAAAAACCCTAAAAATCGAATCAAAGAAGCTGAAACTGAAAGGCTCAGACTTTAGAGTCTAGAATGTAGTCTCCGAATTATCAGTATTGCTCACCAAAAACAGACACATTGTACAAACCTATCGAGTTCGAATATGATCCTAAAGAAGGGGGGTTTTCAAAGAAAGAAACGACAGACAAAAGTAGCTTTCAAGGCCACAAGTAAAACGAGCATAGAGACAGTGTGTGTGAGTGTGGGAGAGAGAGAGAGAGGAGAGAGGAGAGAGAGAGAGAGACCGTCAGTTGCGTGAAAAGGCGTGAGAGGAGAGGATGAAAGCATTGAAAGGTATTGGGGGAAGAGGGGTAAAATTAGAACCACCGAGCGGTGAAACAAGATATTTGACCGTGATGTCTTATTGGTTACTTTGGTTGTTCTTTTGTTTTTGGCATATTGATTAAAGTGATTGATGTGACGTCGTTTGGATCTTTGACGAATATTTATTGGATTGTGAGCTAAGATATAGTGACGAGTGGAGAGGCATCTTTTGTGTTCTTAATATGCCCTTTCACTTTTTTTCACAATCACTGTACAAAACAGAACCGGTCCGTTATGTGATCCAGTAACTTCATTGTCTCCTATGACTTGTATCCATTATAAACGGGTTCAAGTGGGTCTGGATCCTATTTGGTTAAAAAAAATTACTATATATTTTATTTTTTAAATATATTTGGTTAATAATTTAAATTAAAACCCCCTTCTCTTCGTCACATTTTTTCTAATACTTTATTTGGTGAAGTTCATTAATACCAAATTTCACACCATTTCATTATGGAAAATGCTATATTTAATGAATTTAGTTTTGTGATTCTATATTGAATTATATGGCTATTTATTTATCTTATTTGGTTACTTTATGTATTTTTAAAAGTAAATTTTTTAATATAGAAAATATCTTAATATAGGTAACAGGAAAAAATAGCAAAATTTATCATTATAGAATTCAAAACCTAATATAATTAAATAATTTATATGAATGAGTGATCTCTTTCTCGTAAATAAAAACCTAAATTTACATAATTCACTTAAAACTTTTTTATAATTATATTTTGATTTGGTATTTTCTGAGTAGGACAAATTTTAAAGAAATATCAATAAAGATATAAAAGCATATCCAGCAGTCTGTTAAAATATTATCTTGTTTAAAATATACATCTTTTTACACAACCACGTTAGCATATTTCATTTATCCTCCCTCTTTCTCATTCTATTAACAAATTAACCATTTATTGAGTAGATTTATAAAAATTATGTACGGTCCACGCATGACACGGATGGATTAAGTAGGCTTGTAAAAATTATGTTGAGTCCAAGCATGACACTAGTGAATTGTTATTGGGTAATATATTTTTACACAAAAGTTATAAAACAACAATTGCAGCTAAAAATAAATAATCTAAATTTTTTGTGTAAATTTATTATGACACATTCGATTTACAAAATATATATATATATATATATATACAACGGTTGAAGATGCTTTAAGTTGAGAGAGTGAAGAAAAGAATATATATATATATATAATGAAAAAGATGGATAGAGAAAAAGAAATTATAAGTAGAGTAATTATTCGTTCTTATCTTTTTCTACAATAGTTAATTAGTTTAGTTTGTTGAAATAGGAAACATAAAGTATAAAAAGAATAAAGTATAATATATATTAAAATAGAGAATACTCATGTCTTTTTAATTATCGAGATTCAAGATAAAATCTAGAATTAAAATTCTAGAATGCACGAAAAAAATTTAAGATTGTATGACAAATTTTCTCCACCCACGTCACTCCCTCCTCCTTCTTATGCTAGTTTCCCCTCTTAACATTATCATTCTAAAAGTATAAAGATGCATAGGCTTTCTATACCATAATATTCATCACACCTTCCTCTACCATAATATTAATCACACATGTCAAAATTGAAGTCCATCAAAATAGTAAAGTTATCATCCTCTACAATGCATCAGACAATTGTCCATGGCTAATTTCGTTTATAGGTGCCTTCATTTTTTTTGAGTAATTCATAATCCTAAACTCTAACTATGTAAAAAAGATACAAATATAATCCTAAATTTTGAAGTTATAGTTTCTGACTAACGCATAACTAAAAATTATTTACATATTCTTTGATGATCTCCATAGTTAATTATACATAGGTTCAATATCTCCATGATTAATTATATATAGCTTCAATATATATATATACACAAAATCTAGAACTAAGTTGCTATGGTTCGATGGCAACTTCCAAAAGGAAATATAAGAACCATCCAAGAAAAGGAAATTCATTCCCAAGAAAATTTGCGTGAGAGTTTCTCTCTCCAATTCTTAAAAAAGAAATTAATTATGCTACATCTCTGATAAAATCATAAAAAATATTTGATAATATCTATCATTTTTCTTATACATATTGATAAACTTTATCACGAAATGAAACCATGAAAACACGTGACAAAAGAGATTCTACAATAAATATGAAAACATCCCCCCAGGTCACATGCTTTACTTTCCATTTAGATCATTTTAAGAGAAAAAAGATTTTATCGAGTTGAATGGATTATTTATTGTATGTGTGTGGGTTGCTCAGATTACGAAAGAATAATTCTTTCTAAATTTGTTAAAATGATGTTTTTGTCTATGAAATCTAAATGGTATTTAGAAATGCATTGTGGGAGCACATTTTATGAATGGACTCTTTCTTTATGTATACTATTTACATAATTTAATTTTTATATAATCTCTACGTGCAGATGAACTCAAAAATTATTAAATTTAACATTTGATAGAAAAAAATATTATTCAAAAATAGGAATATATCAACTGGGTTGGTTGGTTGGTTGGTTTGAAACAGCAAAAACTTATGGTTCTTTCACTATTAAAAAATAAAAATAAAAAACAGTTTTTCAAACATGTATATATATATATATATATGAAACCCCCAAATGCAGCAAAATGTAAGAAATGGTCATATTAAAAGTTGCAGATGTCTCGATATTCCAGTGGTTAGTATCTCTGGTGAATTTTGAGAGAATAATCATAATAAAAACGATTTAGGCTGTCAGAAATATTAGTTGAATAGATTGATTGTTTCATTTTTCTCATCCAATAAGGGAATTGAAGAGTAGCTACTAGCAAGGGTATTTTTCCATTTTTCAATTATTTTTTCTTTGGGTGATTTAGTTTATATATATATATATATATATATATATATATTTTGCATGATTTATTGATGGTGAATTAATGAGACTATCACTGAACTAAGCCAATTCCCATAAATAACTAAATGACCAGTTCAGATACCAAATGACTAAAAAGGTTAATTATATGGTATTATTGGTATACCATCAAAATCAAAATATAAAAAGCATATTTCCTTGATGTTGGAAGATTTCACTGAACTGTGACCATATGTTTATTGCAAGTGTGACAAGATGTTAAAACTATTAGTCCCAAAGTGACATCAAATCAAGCTTAAATTCCTCAAGTAACATTTTATTATTACTAAAACTTTATGTAACCTAATGATAAGAACACAAAGAAACTCCAAAAAGAAAAAAATAATAATAATTTGTTTTACATTGTTGGTGTATGCTAAAATCTAATTAACCAGGCTAACAGACTAAAGTCTTAGATATTTTAAGCCCTTAATATATGACTATATGAGGCCCTCAAGCATCCAATCCTACAACATGTGAAATATGCCCAAACACACATGCTAAGATATACTTCCTAGCTATTTAGACAAAAAAATTATTACATTGTCCGGAACTAATGGTTCAAATAAATCAATCACTAATTGACAAGTAAAAAATAAATAAAAAATTGATACAAAATTGACGTATTTAATTACGTGTCAATCAGTGATTGTCCCGAGTCCATTTAGACCATATTTGAGTCATGGATTGATTTGGGCTTCAACTAGTCCAATCCAAGAAACCGAATCCCCAAAAGGAAGATGGTTTGTTTGAGGCCTGAACTGCTGGAAGAGTTGGTCCAGAAGAAGATGGGCTAAGCCCAAATTAGTGTAGAAACTTGAAACTACACAGATCAAGATTTGCAAGCCCCTGATATATTGTACGTCGGCCCTAGCCCATAGTAGGGGATCACACAAGAGTAGAGCAAAAGCCCAATCCATTATCTTTCTTAGGTATCCAATTTTTTTATTTTCACTCCAATTATTGAATCCTATATTCATTTCTCTCTTTTCTTTTTTTCTTTTCCCCTTATTCTTCTTCTTCTTCTCCTTCTTTTATTATTTTTAAAAATTTTCTTGAATAAGAATTTTTTTTTCTAAAGTTCAAGCAAATACACTTACGCATACAATATATTGTCCCACAGGGTTCAAACAATTAACTTCTTTTAGAAATGAGAGATCATATTATATACGCTAATGCGTATTTCAATATTCGAAGTAGGAGTATTTTTTACTAATCACACTAGAAGAGTTGAACTAAGAACCTCTTCCTTTATAGAAATATGTGCTTATTTATTTATTTTTTTCTTTTCATAGTTTTAAAAATTATTTTTATGATGACTTTATTATATTTTGATTTTATAACTTTTTAAGGGAACATGCAATTAATGCATTGTCCCCTTTTCAAATTACTAAATTGTTCTTCAAACATTAAATAATAAATATATATAACACCAAGTTGTAAGATTTTTGAAAAGTTAGAATGGTAATTATGAAAAGATGACATTTATTTTGTTTGACTTTTCAAAATGGATATTTAATTTGGGACAAAAAATTGACTACTAATATGGGACAAAGGGAGTAAGAATCAAGTGTGTTATGACCTAGTGATATCTCTTCTACCTTTCAAAGTGAATGGTGAGAGGGTTCGAGTCTTCAAAGTAACAAAATGAGTGTGTGTGTGTGTGTCGTGTGTAAATTTCTTGTCAATGATAAAAAATAAAATAAAATAAAAAATGAAGGTAAGAAAAAAGAAAAGAAGTACCTATATTTATTTCTATATTTCTATAATATCTTTTGATTGGTAACCCCATTCTTAATATCCAACAAGTTGACTTATCTTTTAATAATCACGTGCTCTGCTCTTAATGATGTGTGCATCAATTAATTGTAAACCATTAATTGTATTTATGATACCCCACAATACTTTCCCTTGATACGATTGCTGCCATAATCACAAACATACCACGAAATTAAATCTTCTATCCGTATCTCCACTATCATCTAAATTGATTCCACTAAATATATTAAGCTATATTTAATGTGATTACCTCCGTGCTAAACTATTTTCTATACCTGTCAAAAATTAAAAATTAAAAAATAAAAATCATTTTTGATACTTTCTCATGCCAAAGTTTATTAACCACAAATAATGACAAATGCTCTTGACAATTTTGCCGCCGGTCCTTTTATTCTTGATTGAATTTGGTTCCGATATCATTTGTTACCATTCACCTTATCATATAGATATTGTTTATTTTACACATTTTATTTTTACAATTTTTAAAACTCATTTACAAAATTATAAAGTTTTCACACACATAAATATCAATAACCCTTCCCAAAAGATGTGGTACATTACTATTACCTCCTCTAAAAACTCACGGCTTTGTCCTTGCTAGTCTGAACTCATGAATTTGTGCCACAGTTGATTCCACTAAATTCATTAACCTATATTAAATGGGATTACCAAACTATGTACATGCTAAACTATTCTTGATACTTGTGCCAAAGTTTGTTCACCCCCAAAAGCATGTCATTTCTTTGTTTTTTTTTTCTTTGAAAATTAAGAACGGAGAGACTCGAATACAAACATATACGTTCAAAGAGTTGAGGACTCTACCAAATAAGTCACTGGGTAATACCATATAATTTCTTTACTACTCTCTTCAAAACTTGACAAAATTGTGCATCCTCCCATTTTGTGTTGAGGATTGGCTCTAATGCCATTTATCACAACTGTCCAGCCATTTAAATATTATTTGTTTTATATACTCTCTATACTTACTACTTTTAAAACGCGTTTTCGCAGTCGAACGTGTTCATACATGTAAGTACCAATAACCCACTCTCAAATGTGGGATATCATCACCACCCGCTTGAACCCAGAGTTCATTACTAGTCTACCTCAATGAACTTGCGCCAAAGATAATTCCGCTAAAAAAAAATCAACTTATACTTAATGTGTTTCATTCATTAAATGCATTAACCTATATTTAATGTGATTACCCAACTATGTCCATGCTAAACCATTTTTGATACTTACTTGTGCCAAAGTTCATGAACCCTAAAAGCATGTCATATCTTTACCACTCTGGTTATCACAAGTTCATTACTTTATGGAAAAAGCATTTCACAACTTGTGGTCCAATGGTCCTTGTTGCCGAGGCCTAACAAATCCTAGAAATAAACAACCTACCTACTTGCTTAATTATTTTTGGATATAAATCTTGACATTTAGATTCTAAACTGTTCAAATAAATTGTATCTTTCCGACTAAGCGAATAATTAATCTCTTAGTTGTTAAGCTCGCAGTGAAAGTAAAAGAAGACTAAAGTGATTAAAGAAATTGATGGGTGATTTATTTGCACAATTCTCACTGCCACATAAAGTTGTGATTAGATTTTTACTTAGGTACGATTAGGGCTTGAAAATGATTTGTGATTTGATTTGATTTTTGATATGGTCCATGGAAAAATTATACAAAGTGTTGTCCACACGTAAATATCTCTCCTCTTTTGGCTTTTCAAGAGAAAGTAAAGACATTTAAGTGAAGCAATGCATCAAGCATGCCAAAGGCAAATTTCAAATTTTGGAAATAAAAATTCATTTGTTTTGAAGTTTCTTAGATGGAATAGACTTGTGCTTTAAGTTTTACCCACTAAAAGCTAAAGTATTTGTTAGGACCTTATGGCATGCACAATTGTTTTGTATTTTTATTTTGATTCGAAGAAAAAATAGTATTTTTGCTTTATAGTGTGTTGAATAATATTTAAAAATATGTTTAATACCACATATTTATTGCAAGACTTTTGGAAGTAAAAATATGAAAACATATTTAGTAAAAAATTGTTGTAAATTTGAAAAATGAAATGGTTAGTTAAAAATATTTTTTTTTTTTTTTTTGAACATTGGTTTTGTTATAGTGCGTAAGCAATCAGAAATATCATTTTTTTTTTTTGCTTCCAGTTTTGGCCTCATTTTCAGAAGCGTTTTGATACTATTCAAATCGTAAAAAATGTTATCAAAACATACTTCGTACTTTTGATTCGCTATAAGGCAAAAACATAAAAAACTGAATTAGAAGCTATTGCCATGTTTCTAAATTTTGTGTATGGTATTATTGATTATTCTAATGATTGCTTAATCAAAATTACTACTCATTCTTGTTCTAGGGAACAAGATTGGTGCCAATGCACGTTTATTTTCTTCATATTCTACATTTGTTGTCATCGTTTTCAGTGATCATTTTGAGAACTGCATCAGAATGAATACAAACAAACACACACACAAACACACACACACACACATACACATAGAGTGTCATATAAAGAAAAGAAAAAAGCATTGATTTGAATAAATTTTCTTTCTTTCTAACATCATTCCTATAGTACGTCAAACTTTTGTTTTGCAACCTTTTGCTTTATTAGATTTAAGGCAAAACCCATACCTAAAATTTTATTAATAGGATCATTCACAATCACTCCTTCGTGCATAATTTTTTGGGAAAGCTAACCAAAGAAAATCAAAAGGTGCTTTTTTTTTTTTTTTTTTCATTCTAAATATTAGAATGATGTGAAAAAAAGATTATTCACAAATTTTATCTTGCCCTTTTAACTTTAAAGTGAAATTATCAAAGTGTCATCCTCTATCATTCTGTCACCACTAATATCGGAGTATAAAATTATTATGTTATGTTTGCCTGCACCGAATTAGCACTTCGAATTTAAAATTAAAAAAATTTTAATACTCTAAACTTTCGCTAATCCCAAATTAAAAATATCAATTCGATATTTTTAACCGTAATATTAGAGAATTTGAAAATTTATTGTTTTACATTGACCCTTTAATCATTGAAAAGAGACCTTGGAAAAATATGTTTTCTACCTCAATGCAGTAAACAAGATTAAGTTGACCTTAAATAATCAATTAGTAAAGAAAGGTTGAAAATATTTAAAAATTGTCAAAATCCACAAAATATCAACTAGGTTTTTTAAGATCCAAGTTCCAACACACTTGTATCCACCTGTTTCTGCGTCACTAAACTTTTGAAAGATATGATGAAGAGGGGTGGCAGTTGGTGATCACATGGACACACACAGTCTGACATTTTCCATTCTCGATGGAGAAAGAATGACAAACATCTCCTTCAAAAATACTAAAAAAAAAATTGACCCATTTCCAATGTGATCAACATCCTCTTGTTCCCTTCCCCTTTCCGATCCCCTTGTCCTATTCCCTCTCGGAATTCGCGCTTCGATTCTTCCTTTCCCTTTTCTCTCCTCTTCACACTTTCAAATTTACCAACCTCAATCCAACTAGATTTTCTTCACAGCTATTTTATTTCCCTCCCATTCGTGCAAAGAAGAAAGGTGAATATTGCATTATGGGAGGTGTGGATTCTATAGCAAAGTTGGACCCCACCTTGTGTTGGGTGATTTTTACCCTCTCGAGTACTGAATAGGATAAAAAGTGTTACTTGCTCACAAACGGCATTAATCTTTTACTGAATAGGATAAAAAGTATTACTTGCTCACAAACGACATTAATTTCTTATTATCCTTGAGGGACCTCTTCAGTAGACCCTTCCAGTGCATTGGACCGTCCAACATATAGAAGAGGATTTGATTCTTTGCTCACAATAGTCCTTCATCTCTCACCACTTTTCATCTCTCGCCACTTTTTATCGCGAAAAATATGATATGATGAAGGTGCTCTCACGTGAATTCACATCTTTATCCACTAAATCGAGTGTCAAAATATTCAATTCAACTGGTAAAATGAAAGCGCGAGTTCACTGTGAAAACAACCTCATTATAGCATTGCTCCAACAAAAAATCTGCCAACCTTTCTCCACATCACAAGAACCTTCCATAGAGCACTTCCATAATTTAAGCGTAAATTTTGATACACATATTTTATTAAATGAGTCATGACACCAACGAGGAAATAAAAAAAAGATAGAAGAAAATGCAAGGAGAATCTTTTTTTCCTGTTTTTTAATTTCATGGCTCCTGATAAAGGAGGAGACTTTGATCCATTCATTGGCAGATGTAATGCACCATGCAACATGAATCTTCTATTATTACTGTTTATTATAACATTTTTTTTCTTTCTCTCTCCTCCAATGTTCCAACCTTGCAAAATATGGGATTGACAACAATTAATGCATATTTCAAAGCACTATGGTATGTCCCATTGCCAATTTTGAACTCAAGTCCAGATGTCCAATACCATACACCAAAACAACAGACCAAAACAGCTGCATTTCAAGGTGTAAGTTAATTTATTATATAAGAAACTTTCCGCTAGATTTTTCGGTTAAACTATCATGCCTGAATAACACACTGTTGGAGAAAATTTTGGTTGGACTCATTGAAAATGTTGTTGTTCTGGCCACACCCACAAGCTCGGTTGATCGTCGATGCCACTAAACATGTTGCAGAGATTCTCATCCGGAACCATCTGATCGATTTTGTGGAATTGGAGGTGGTCTGATGATCTTGATGAGCTTGGGAGGAGTTGGGAAGAAGTAGTTGCAGGCTCATTTGGGGAAGGGAAGATGTGTGTATTGGTTGGATGAGAATATGGTGGGCTGTCTGTTGCTGGTGGTGGTGTTGTAGTGGTACTAAAGTTGACATCACAAGTGTTCTCACTTCCATTGCTCCAAGAACCACCCTTTGTTTCTTTATTGAGATTAATAGCTCCACTTCCTGTTGTTTCTTTATTTTTAAGAGCCAATAGCTGCAGCATTAGAATCAATCAGTTAACATGAAACATGAACTGATTCTTTCAATGGATAAATTTATACATATTGTGTGTGTGTGTGTGTGTGTGTGTGAAAGATGTATATGGACAAATTTGAATCAAAACTTAAAATAAAGGCTACTAGTCCCATCTAAGGGCTATGGCAATAGAAAAAGGAAGGGGTGGGGTTGTTCTGTTTACACTTGAAGCTTCCCTTACCCTTATAACTTATTATCAACCAAAGCAAAAGCAATTCAGAAAAATTAAAATGACTTCATAAAGTCATTTTGAAAAGAAATCAGTACTCAATTTGATTCCCAAATCGGATTTTGCGTTCAAGAATATGTCTCAGCTCCTTTTGACACACATGTATTATTTATCAAAAATCCTCAAGTTTTATCAAAATATAAACATGCAAAAAAAATTCCAGAATGACAAAATATTCAATTATTGAAAATTAGGATACACAGTTTGACTTCTGAAAAATTCTCAAATTATAGATATTAATAAAAAAATAGAAGCAAAATTGATCCCAAAAGTGAAAATGGTTTTAATTCATAGGCCAAAAGACCATCAATGGAGGAAAAGTCCCAAAATTATTTTCAAAAGCCAATTATACAAATACCCAAATTGCATAACTAATTAAATTTTCCTTATACAATTTGAATACACACACACACACACACTATATCAAATATATAGAAGAATGGAAATGAAGAGTAACCTGTGCATGAAGTTGTTGGTTGTGAACATGAAGGACATCATTGTCAGCCTTGAGAGCCTCAAACTGTTTCTTCAAGAAGTCATAGTCTTTCTCCAATTGCTTGGTCTTCCACCTAGCCCTCCTGTTTTGGAACCATATAGCCACTTGTCTTGGTTTCAGACCAAGAGACCTTGCCAACTGAATTTTTCTCTCAGGCTCAAGTTTGTTGCCCAACTCGAAGCTCTTCTCAAGTGCCTTCACTTGTTCAGTGTCTAGCCTCTTCTTCTTCTCCCCAAGCAATTGTGATCCATCATCAGACATCTCATCTTCTCCATGCACTCCTTGCTCACACCTTTCAACACCCGAAAACGATATGGATCTCCTCATTAGGGGTGGTGAAACACCTGCAACGACAACCATTAATCTCTAAATCATACTTATAAAGCACACACACACATATATATACATATATGTATATAGATAGAGAGAAAGATGAGTACCTTGGAATTCTTGAGATGGATAGGAGGGGAGGACATGGGGAGAAGTGGAAGGAGGGTGGTTGTCTTCATGGATTTGAAACATGAAGTCAGTTGGGACAAAGGTCATACTACTGTTGCAAATGATCATATGCAAAGGGGCAAGACTGGAAGGCAACAGTAGTAATAGGTTGAGAGTGAACGTGGGGTGTGATTTATAACTCAAGGGGACTCTAATCACCTGCAATATGATGTTTCTTGCATTTCTTGTTTTTTCTTGCTTTAAATCATTGGGCCAAGACTATTAATACCCTAGTTTCAATAAATAAATAAATAAATGAAAGAAAAAAAAAATAGATAACTTTCTTTTTTGAAAAGATACAAAGAAAAGAATGAAAAAAAAAAAGCATAAATTTATGTCTCAGATTATGTGTGTGTCAGTGTGTGTGTCTGTGAGTGAATGTGTATGTAAAAGAAATTTACAGCTTAATGTGTATGTACAAGAAATTTACAGCAAAAGGACGGACTCAGTATTTAATATATATATATACATGTATGTATGTATATGTATATAATATGATAAATATAAAATATAAAAGAAGAAGAATGAAGAAAATTATTCAAATATGTATATTAAAAAGAAAATTTAAAGAAGTAGAAAAAGAAAAATGAGAGAACTCCGAAAGAAAAAAAGTTGTTTGATTGAGAATGGAAAATTAAAGGATTTTGAAGAATAAAAGATAAATTAAAGAAAAAATTAAGAGATATTAGAAACAAAAAAAATTAGGGGGGCATAATATAAAATTATATATATATATATATATATATATATATAATTAAAAAATACCACATATATTGTAGAGGGCAGGCCAGGAGGCACGGCCCCGCTAGACCTTCATTGGCTCCGTCCCTGAAAAGAGAGAATAGGAATCTCATTTTTCATATTATTATGTGATTTTAGAAAGAAAAACACTTTAAATTGGCACTTAAATATCATTTGATTAAATTGTTGTAATCTTTGACAACATCGAATTGGTATCTTGGAATTAAAAATAATATAAAAAAAATTAATTCAAAGTTTCAATTTTTTTTTTTTTGGTTAAAGTACAATGACATCCCTTGAGATTTGCCATAAGAACACTTAAAATCTCATTTGATTAAATTGTTGTTATGTTTGACAACATCGAATTGGCATTTTGGAATTAAAAATAATTTTTAAAAAAACTAATTCAAAGTTTCAATTTTTTTTTTTTTTTTTGGTAAAATATAATGACACCCCTTGAGATTTGCCATAAAAACAAACATATACAAGTTGGTTATTTTTTGGATAATGACATCCCTTGAAGTTTGAAAAAATTAACAAAGACACCCCTGTAGCCACCTGCGGCCATATATGACACATGCAAAATTGACCAACTTGCCTTTGACCATTTAATGGACCTTTTTAATTTCACAATTTGATAAATTAGACCAATGTACCCATCATTAACATTTGATGCAAAAAAAGTGGAAGATAATTATAGAAAATTCATTTGAAATCGAAACGGAGCAAATGAAAATGTTTTAGAAAATAGACTCATGGAAGTATAAAACTGAATATTTTGGTGATGATCCGATGTCCAGAAGGTTGTCAAATAAATAAATTAAAAACCTGATTTCAAACAGTTGAAAATTCCATATAGCAGCTGTTGTCGAATTTTTATAAAAATATCTGTTTGGCCAAAAATTGTGAAATTTTTTAGAGAGAAACTAGACATGCAGATGAACCTTTAATAAAAATTTCATATCAATCGGAATATTACAATACCGTGAGAAAATAATGAATTTTAGCATAATAAATCGGCACCATTTTGTGACTCATATTTACTCAAGGGCAATTTTGACATTTTAACATGTCTAATAATTTAGAATAAAACTGATTTTATTATTAAGGGGCAATTTTGTCTTTTTGAATCATTTAAAGCCTTATTTGGAGATAATTCTGACGGCAGTGTCATTATCCGAAAAATAATCAACTTGTATATATCTAGTCTTATGACAAACCTCAATGTGTACTTTGTCCTTTTTTTTAATAATTTCTTTTTTTTAAAAAAAAAAAATTAATTTTAAAATCGATTCGATTTGATTCTCTCAAATGTAACATGAATATTTTTGTTAATAAGCTATGCTGATAAACTGAACTAGTCTAACAATTTTTCACCCTTTTTGTTTTCAGAATGTCATGGTGTTAATGAATGAAAATCAAACTCTCAAACTCTAAAAAACGCAAGTTTAAAGAAAATCACTTTGTACAATTAATAATACTAAAAAAAGATTAGCACATTTTGTCTATCCTACCCCATTCAACACCTTTGGATTATATAAATAATGACCCTAAACTCCATTAATTAAGAAGATCAACACCTAATAAATGAAGACATATGGATCTAAAATAAAACCTAGGGTTACCACTACCACCACCACCGTCACAACCCGCATTTGAAAGAAGAGGCACACATAAGCTGAGGCATGGATTAGACAATTCTTAGTTTTATGCGACTGAAAAGTAGTAGATTCCATTATGATGGACACTATATATAAGTGACGGCCGAAAGAAAATTGACATGCAAATTAGAAAGTGAAAGTGAAAAGAGGACCAAGGTATCACTTGGCATCACTAGATCCCACATGTCAGATCACCACACCTAAAGACAACCTCATTATCAATTAAGTTCTAAATGAAATGAAAAGATGGCATTGCCCTTTTATTTTTATTTTATTTTATTTTTTAACCGTTTTGCTAGTGCTTTCTTAATGTTCATCATTTGTATACATTTGTTCATATCAATGAAAATTTAACAAAATTAAACAAAAATAAGAGGTCACAGGACATGTTATCCGAGTTGTGCTTGGTAGTTTAATTTAAATTTTAATTGTACTAATTAAGGTCGCAATTGATGCATTTGTAATAGTATCTTAATTATCGTATTAGGTGAGCCTGATATTCACGTGATCTGTTGACTCAAAATTCACCGTGACTTCAATCAATCACAGTCGTTGTTAATATTTTTCTTCAAAATTTCTGGAAATGTCAACATGGGTTAACCGGAGTATTAATTAGTGAAACATGACTATCAACCAAGTCAAATCAAGGATTAATTAGGGGGTAGTTATTTGGGCATACAAAATTGGAGTTCAAATCGAGTCAAGAAATCAATATTTGAGCTGCTCTGACTTGACCGAGCTCTAAAAAAATCAGGTTTCAAACTCTTAACTTGTTTTAGTCATTTTATCTATTCTAGATAAAAAGAGTGAAGAAGAAATGAGCTGGTATGAGAATAAAGTGTGTGTGTGTGTGTGTGAGAGAGAGAGAGAGAGAGAGATGGGATGGAACGAAATGGGAGGTGCAGACTGACTCAGTGCAGGGACTGCAACTTAACCCACCTAGACAGCAGGCTCCCCTCTATTCCCTCCACTTCCCTCTCAATTTTAAGCAAATGGGTGCCAACTTTAACACCTACATTGAAAGTTGTAACACTATCGAGCTGGATTTCTCAATTTATGTCCCTCAATCCACAGCCTTATAGACTTGAACACCTTTTTGTTACAACAAATGTCACAAACTAAGAATTCAATCAAGTAATCGATAGAAAAAGTAAACACGCATCACTTAAAGAACACAAAGATTTATGTGATTTGAAATAAAATCTACACGATAAAGATCAGGTAAAAGATTTAACTACAATAGTCTACAAATTTTAGCCCTAAACCCTCGCTCTCAAACACTCTTCTTGTAGCTATCAGTGTTCTCTCATGACACATTCCAAATCCTACACGCTAGCTTTTCTATATCGGATTACAAGATAGTTCTCAAACCGAGGTTATGGACAAAAAAATTTATCAGTGAAAACAAAATTTGAACCACAACATTACATTTCTATTTTTGAAAGTGAGGAAGTACCGTTAAACTATAGTCCTTGGCAACAACGGAAGGCTATAAATTAATTAGGTGTGCTAATAGTCAAATACATACACAATATCATGGATTGGCTAGTTTGATTTTCCTTCCCTTTCACATGGAGTGATAGATGGACCTAACTAGCTAGAGAAAAATTTTCAATGGAATTGGAACATGTCACACATAAATGTTTTGACTGAGATACATATACATATAATTTTCATTTCGTGATTATCGCTTTCAGAAATTGAAGTGCTTGGTGTATAAAAGGGAATTGAAAGAGGCATGCATGAGTGTGACCTGATAATTAGAGCGTTGGGTGTTGTAAGGTGTGGGTCTTATTATATGCGCCTTTAGTCTGCCCTGAAATGGAGCTCCTCACATGGATTTGGATTTGTGTGTTGGTTGAATCGCTGTATCCTTATAATTTCTCGTTGTTCATTTCAAAATTTTTAAATTAAGCCATTGCTCTGTGTCTCCACCACATGCCCTCTTGTTCCCCCATGTGCCCTTCTCTCTCTCTCTCACACACACACACAACACACAGTGAAGAGGGATTGACAACTCCCACCCCAAAATATATATATATATATATATATATATTATTGGGGTTTATATAAGAAATATTACTAGTTGATAAGAAAATCTAGAAGTTATTCATACCGGTAGATTAATTAGAATGACAACTTTTGTTTTTAGTTCCACTTTTCCATAATTTTGACATGTCTAAATATTGCTAATTCTTTTTATTGTGTTGAGATTAAAGAGAAAGGAAAAAGATAATAATGTTATATACAATCCATATTAACATAATTCAACTAATAAAAGAATCATTATTCAAGGAAAAAAAAAATGACATGCAGTAAATCTCTGTTATGTGGTAAAGTGAAGGGTTAGGGTTAAGTCTTCAACAAATAATTAAGTGTCTTGTAGCCTAGTCGTATCTCTGATACCTCTAAAACTGGATGGTTCACATCCCGCAAAGGGACAAATGAATGTGTGAGTTTCTTGCCTAATATATATGTGTGTGTGTGCGTCTCCAACAGATAAAAATGAGTGAATTGTTAACTGTCAAGCTAAAGGTTAAGAAATCAAACCAATGAAGAAGAAAAGTGAGGACTGCTCCAATCAGACTTACCTTCAAAACCGGAATTTAGTTGCACCCTATAAACCTTGACAGTGTGGAACACTAGTTCGGGAAGTTGGGCATAGTACTAACTAGGCCACAAGGTAATTCTTCCTTTCCCTAGTTTGTCTGAAAATAAATAAATAAATAAATAAAATAAAATAAAAAAATTAAAAATATCAATATCCTTTTAAATGCGGTAATGCACCATTGCTTTGAATTGGATGAAGAATTAAAGAAGGTGAAGTAGCCTAGGAGGGCTCAAAGAATGCCTCTTGGGTGAAGGCCTTCTTTGGGCCAAAAGTGTCCTCGAGGAGAAAACAGAGGTTGGGCTTTTTCAATCTAAGTAAGCCCTCAGGCATTTTTCATAAACCTTATCTTTTAAAAATCGATGCTGGCTTAAATAACTTTCCTAAGCCCAAAAATCTTCTAAATGTGGACTAGATGTGGATGTTTGGGCTTGTTTATAATGATTTTGTCATATCTGATATCTTTGAGACTTTCGTGTCTTGAGCTCTTCCTTTGGGCTGGTGGTGTGTCCAATAATTTGAGGGTACTCTACAAATAACTCAGCCTGATAAATACCTTCAAGTGGGCTGGACTCGAATATTCCCCGGACAAGGGAAGACCATAGGATGCGATTGCGATAAACCTCAAGGGGGCTTGGCCTAGTTAAAAAAAAAAAAAAGACTGGTATTGGTGCCTTACTTTCTCATATGTACAAACAATTCTTTACGCTCGCGAATATAGTCTAAGTTTTTCCCAATTTGTATGGGGTCGCCTTGCACGAGTCTCATGAATTAGTCGGGGCAAAATTCTGGATACTCTGGTTAAAAAATAATATATCTTGACTATCCCATTTCAAAACGAAAGGTAAAAAGTTCAAGTCCCTATAAGAGAATTTTGAGAATTCTTTGTTAGGAAAAAAATAAATAATTTTTTTTGGGGTAAATAAATTAAAAATAAACTTACAAATTTATACCTATTAATTTTTAAAATCCATATCCAGCATTCAACAAAAAGATATTTCTCACTTAAAAATTCCGTCTCTTTTCAAGTAATATAAATTCTAGGTGATGACTAATTTTGTATTTAAGTATTAACAAATGCATTTAATTTAAGTACCAAAAAATTTCAAAGTAAAAGTGGTTCGGAGTCTAAGGACAATGAGAGTTTGTAACTACGAACGTGTATACATTTGACCAAGAAACTACCAACTGCATATGCGACACCCGTTTCAATTCCATCTTATCCCTGGATTTTTTGGTTTTTTGGTAAAACATCTTATCACAAAATTGTTGCTAAACACATTAATTTATTCTTATTATTAGGTAAATGTTTTCATTATCATTTCATATTTATATAATTCTAAACTAGTTATATACATTATATATACACCACCAATACTTGTAGATTGGTTGCATCTAAATATCTCTCCTACCTCTTACTCTGAAAGGTTTAAAATTTAACCACACATCATTTTCTCCTATTCAGGTAATGGAAATTGACATAGTCGGTGACTTAAATTTCATCTGTCATAAAATTGGTACAAGTAAAGAGTCATCTAATGAAAAGATCTTTCAAAAAACAATTGACATCCATGCATTGAGACTTCATGTGAATATTAGTCATTTCTAATCACAGTTAATGAAAATTCTCAGTTGAAACAATTGTATATAAAACTAGTTTAATTTGACCACAAAAAATGTTTTAATTAATTACAAACCTTAAGAACAAATTCAACTGAAAACCTTATGAGGTAATGTGACAAGTAGCCCTGTAAAAAGATCGGATTTGAACCGGATCAAGTCTGATCTAATCCAAATCCGATAAGCATTTTATTCGATCCGATTTGATTCGATAATCCGACGGATATTTTGCAACTCAATCCAATTCCGATTTGTTAATAAACAGACATTCGATCCAATAATCCGATCCGATTTAATAAAAATATAATTTTTTTTTGAAAATATATATATATATAAATTAATGCCAAAAGAGAATTAAAAAAAAAAAACCGAATAAAAAAAATTATTTACTCTTTGTTAATGAATATACAGTATAATGATTTATTAGTACATGAATAAGAACACCACACTATTATACATATACATGATTTTATTTTATTTTTGGGGTTACTCCTAATACAAATCTGATAGGAATATTAATAAATAATTATATATAATTTTATTCAAATTAGATCGGATCAGCATAATTCATATGCGATTTGTTATGCTAACGAATTATTAGATTCGAATCGTAATCGAGTTATCGAATTTTTTATTTAATTCATACCTGACTAATCGAATGAGATCCGTTATATTGAAAGATAAAGTGACAAGAGTATTTTTGTATAAATAAATATATAAACAAAGATGGAGTAATGGAATGGATGCTCACATTGGTAGATATGGAGATATTTTATTGAAATGATTGAGTGGGTTGGGTGTAGGCTTCGTCTACAGCTTCTGTCATTTTCCGAGAGAGAGAGAGAGAGACAAAAATAAAAACAGAAGAAGTAAAAGACGTTACAGCTGTTTCTTTGGTCTTTTTCATTGTTTTGATTCATCTTCAATTACTACAATGTACCTCTCATCCGTTTTGCTTTTTCTTCCATTCTTTTTTTTCTTATCCAAACATATACCCTTTTTTATTGTTTTTACAATATTACTTTTTAGACTCGTACAAAATCTATTTTGTAACTTTTCATTACTGCTATATACTAACGGTGGATTACTAACAATTAAAGGTATCTCAATTAACTATATATATATATATATATATATATACATATAAGTTGTTAGAATAGAGGGAGAGACTGCAAAGTTCCAATACGAGTTCGAAAAGTAACTCAACCACTCGAGTTAGATTTGTAGACTTAAAATTTTGTGATGACTAATATGGGAATATAAAATTCATATAACTCACTCCAAATAATTGAAAAAAATAAACTAATGTGAATTTAGGTGGAATTTTATACAAATACCTTGTGTGTGTGTGTGTGTGTGTGTGTGTGTGTGGGTGGGGGGGGGGGGGGGGTACAATCTATCACTAAAAGTGGAGGAAGCTGTAAATAAGATTCCACGTGGCATCATACCCATGCACTGATGCACGTGTTTTCCGGCCGAAAATAAAAAAATAAAAAAGAAAAAGAAAAAGAAAAAGAAAAAAGGTAGTAGGTCGTACTTAGACTGCAAATTGAGTAACCTGGCCTGCTGGTCAAGAGACAATGCCAGCCTCGAATGAACAATCCTGTTAGATTATATTATAAAAAATACCAAATTTCTAATACAAAAATTTTAGACACGTTTAAATAATCAATTAATAAGCTTGTAAATGAAAACTTGAGTGGTTTACAACTAAAATAAAAATGAATTTTAAAAGTAGGACTAACCCATAATTTTTTTAAGAAATTGTAATATTAGATATTAATTAGAGAATTGATGAATTTGGAGCAGCACATCAATGAAATGATGATCTACTTGTAAGAGCCATATCAATGAAATGACATGATATCTTCATTGCATTGAATATTGAATATTTTCTTCAAGAGGGCCCTATTTTTAACAAATATTTGAGCAAGCAATGAGAGTCGACAGAGAAAGCCTGACAGAAAAGAAAATTTATTAAATATGAAATATTGAAACACCAACTTACTTCTATAAGTTCCTAAATGACAGGAATATAATAGGTGGTCCATAAATCATACAAAACTTTAGTAGCAGCAAAATGTGCCCTCTCTAAAGTCAAAATTGGCAAACTTTCGTAATAAAATTCTTTCAAGTGTCCATAAAACTCTCATCTCATACCATTCATGCATGTTTAAAGTGTTGAGCAATTATGATCAATTAAATTATTAGAGAAAAAATAAAATAAAATAAAATAATAAAAAAAAACAATCGAAATGGGGATCGGATCTTTTGGGTTATGTAATGCTGTTGATTATTAAAATTTAGAGTGCTCACAAGATAGTTTTTTTTTAGAGAACGTGTATCGGCCCATAACACATGAAGAGTGCGGTTCAAAATTTCTGTCAACGCTGCTATGCCCCTAGAGGCAAACAATCCGATAGTTTAATAAATTGAAAATCATTATTGTTAATAAGTGAAGTCAGAATGATTCTTTCGATTCCTAAATCATTTACACTATTTTGATATTAGAATTTGAAAAATGAACTAGTGAGACTCAACTGAGCCATTTTTACAAGTCTCAAAAATGCATCATATGATCACAAATATAAGTCCCACGTGAATGTATCGAATGGATAGAAATGACGGTTAAAGTCTTTTTGTAAGTTTTCTAACTCTATAGCATGAGAAAGTATTGAGTATGTCTGGCACACTGTGCACTAGGTTCATCTGAACCATATATATATAACTGACATATGCATATTCACCGATAGACGATGCTTAATATGCATCCAATATCTATTCCTATCATATAGCATTATTCTTAGAATTAAGGTTATCTTCTAAATTTTTCAGTTAATGATTTATTCTAATCATTAGTAACAAAATAACTTCTAGATAATAATGAAAAATGATAGACACAACATTTATAAGAAGTCCCAAACCTACCCAACCACATTTCAAATATGGATGCTTAAGCTTTATCAAACGTTGGGTATTATAAAAGTCTCACACACACACACACACACACACACACACACACCTTTCTCTCTTAAAAACATATATGCATAAGCTAATTCCACTCTCCCTGTAATACACGATCCAATCAAATTAGATCACCAATAGGGCCCACGGCTATACACAGAACATGCGAGTGGGGCTACCAATATTAATCCTTCATACCCTTCTATTTGTTCTTGTTCGATCTTGGCCACTGCTGGACTCATCTTACCAATAATTCCCGTTTTCTCCGATCCCCTTACCCATTATCCAATTTTTCACACACACACACACAATTATATATGTGTATATATATATATATACACATTTAGTGATCATATACAATATACCCACTTCTTAAAGTAGGTAATTCGATTGTTATTCACCACATGTGGAGGGTTGTTTGATCCTCAGTCAGTGTTTTTCTTCCTTGTCTTCTACTAATCATTTCACACCTCTTCTTTAGGAAAGTTCTGATTTTTCCATCAATCTAGTCTCCTTTTAAAGGCATCATTAAGACCTTGTTGTTGCAATAGAGCTTTTGAATCCATTTAATTCACTTGCATCAACAGTTCTGAGTTCTCTATCAAAGAAAAAAATTGAATCTTTATATGGGTTTTTGAGGAATTTGTATTGAATTCACTTGTATCAACATTTCTGAGTTCTCTATCAAAGGAAAAAAAATGAATCTGTATATGGGTTTTTGAGGAATTTGTAAAAAAAAAAAAATTGAATCTTTTATGTGGGTTTTTCAGGAATGTGTCTCTCTGTTTTTCATGAATGTGTATGTTCTCTGTATATGAGTTTTCTCTCAAAGAAAAAAAAAAATGAATCTTTTTTTGGGTTTTTCATGAATGTGTATGTTCTTTGTTTTACAGACACAATTCAACTAATACTCTTTATTTAATATTGGAATCTCTACCCAACTTCTTAGCCATCCAGCTCATACAATTAGGAATGTGCTTTTAATCTTCCTCAATTTTTTTTATGTCATATATGTTTGATTTCACAACCTTTTCTTCTTTACATAAACAGTAGTTTTCTTTTGTTGGATTCATAATGGGTTGTGTAGCTTCGAAGCAACATCTATGCCGGAATTGGAAGTCTCCGGTGCCACGATGCTACTCGATGAACGTCCACCACCCGCCGGTGAGAGAAGGGGACAGCTACCATGTTGTGGCACTAACCTCCACCACATTGGGTTCTCTAGAGCTTGATTCAGTGAACCCAACTCGTCATTTCAACGAATTTGAACCGCTAATTCAGAATCACGATGATAGCGATGATCAATGCAACAACAACAAGAAATGTAATGAGTTTTCAATTGATTCCATCAACAAAGCCAAGATTGTTCCGGAAATCAGAACACCTCCGAGTGAGCCGGAGACAATCAACACTTGGGAATTGATGGAAGGACTCGAAGACACTAGCTCTTTTCGTTTGCTGCACGAAAATGGTGATATCGATACATCCAATTACGATTCAATCACGAACCCAAGTTCGAAAGCGTCATCTATAATCTGTGAGTTTGATCCAGATGTCATTTCCACATTCAGAAAAGCATTCGATGAGTTCCGGCCGGCGAGTCCGGTTAAGCAGGCTTTGGTCGGCAAAGATGAGTCATTGTGTGGTTTGGAGTTGGATGGGAAGAATGTCAGAGCCAATAAATGTCCGACACGTGGGAAGAATAAGAAGAAGGTTGTGTTGTACTTCACAAGCCTAAGAGGAGTGAGGAGGACTTACGAGGATTGTTGTCATGTTAGAGTGATTTTAAAGGGGTTGGGTGTCAGAGTTGATGAGAGAGATGTGTCGATGCATTCTGGATTCAAGGAGGAGTTAAAAGGGCTATTGGGAAAAGGGTTTAATCACAGCGGCTTGCCGAGGCTGTTCGTCGGCGAGGAGTACGTTGGTGGGGCGGAGGAGGTCCGGCGGATGAACGAGGAGGGGGAGCTCGAGAAGGTGTTAGAAGGTTGTGAAATGGTGGACAATGGCGGCGGTGGTGGTGGTGGTGGTGGTGGTGGTGGAGTTTGTAAGGTGTGTGGGGATATAAGGTTTGTGCCTTGTGAGACTTGTTGTGGGAGTTGTAAGGTGTACCATGAAGGTGATTTTGATGAAGAATTTGATGAAAGTGAGTGTGGGTTTCAAAGATGTCCTGATTGCAATGAGAATGGGATCATACGTTGTCCAATTTGTTGTGATTAATTTGAGAAAGAAAAAAAAAATATTCCTCATTTTCTTCATTTTCTTATTGTTTTTCTTTTGTGCTAGTTCTCTACTGTATAGTGAGAGTTCAGACATGACTGCCAACAGGGTGTTCATGGTATTTGTTGTTCATGGATCATAGCACAAGCAAATGTTCCTTAGGTTGGACCAAATAGAGGTCCTAGACTCATCAAGGGTTCTTTAAATCAGTGGTATTTATTCCCTTATATTAACCAAATTATAATAAGAAGTATTTCCCTATGCAACTTTTGGAGCTCTTATTGTTGTCATTTAGAGCTATGCGAAGGCAAATGCGGTAATGAATTATGACTTCATTCCTAGTTTAGTTTAGTTGTTGATTGATTCACTTTCAAGTGAATATAATATGTGACCTAGTTTATCAATGAAATATTATTGCTCGACTTGGAAATAAATAAATAAATAAATAAATTATTTGGTTTTTAACTCCGAATTCAGACCTAATGTATTTAGTATATTAGAAAAAATGTTATTTTCTTTGCTTAGTCGCAATTTTTTTTAACATAGTCATGACTCAAAGGTACAGTATAGCACGAGTATTGTTCGATGTCTAATACAGTATAACACGAGTGTTGTACTACATCAGACACTTGTATACGCTGTAAACCATCACTTGTATTCGGACTCATAGATTAAGAAAACCAACCAAGCATTCCCATAAGCCTTCCTAGCCTACACTAAACTTCGTAATTTAATGTATTAAATTTAGCATAGGCCTTCCTAACAAAAGAAGAGAAACAAAATGGCACAGGAATGTCTAGTTGGTTGACAAGAAAATCTTCACTTCTTTATTTTAAACTCAATTATACCGGTGACATGCCAATTCAATTAACCACTTGCTCATATTATTTATATTTATAATAGTACATCTTAACAAAATGGAAAGAGATACGACTAAGTAGATTTTCAACAAATTAGGTAAATCCCATTCAAGGCAAGTTATGTTTGACGCAGTCGGTGCCAATTGTTTAACTATGTGGCAAAGGTGTGGTTGTCCTCAATGCTATCAAAATCAACCAAGCATACCATTCCATTTGATAACTACAATGCAACAACAAAACAATTAAATATTCTCAACCTCTTATTTAAATACCAAAATATTATTAACATTCATTTGATTGATGAAATATCTGTCCAAATTAAGGACTTGTCTGAAGCCATTATCTTAGTGCAACCTCTCTAGTTAGAAAAGAGCATTCAATTGTTAAGCGTGTGAAAGAACAAAATCTTTGAAGGCTGTTAAGATAGGATAACAGTATGGTATACAAAAAATTTTAAAATTGTTGTGTAAGATAAGATAACCGTATGTGATGCATTCGAAGTATGTGTAATGACTGATATCTATCAAATGTAGTATCGTATTATATTACATCTGATGAATTCTATCTCATGCACGTGTGAATATTCACATTTGTATTCAATTGTTAAACATGTGATGAACAAAATCTTTTAAAGCTGTTATTCAAGATAGGAGAGCAGTACGTGTTGTACTGCACTCGACAGATCCCAACTTTTCACACGTGGTGTGCGTATTCACGCGTTGAAATCTATCAAATGTAATACCTTATTATATTGCATCTGACGAATCTCAACTCATACATGTATGAATGAATCACACGAATTAGGATCCTTCAAATGTAATATCACATAAGATACACTTGTTGACCTGGTTGTTACATGAATTGACTGATGGGACACACAATGATCTGGGAGATATAAAAGTCCATGGTACAAAACCAAATATGTATTTAGAAAGATCACCACTGGTTCATAATTCATATGGTGCCATTAACAAGAAGGTGTTGCCACTAAAGTACAAGAAGTATAATACAAGCAATTTGTGCCAACTATGCAGTCACCTCAGTTTTTACCTGCTCATCCCCTACCCATATCCATTTGGGGCTTGAACCAGAAAAACACAACATGCTACATGACAATGTCAATGAAATCAATCATATTTAGTAGGGTCTGGTCACAAATGGAAGCAATAATGGAGCCAAAAAATACACGAGCAACGAAAAACCGTTTCCTATGAAATACATGTGACTGCTTCAATGTACAGATTCATTCATCTTCGTGGTAGTAGTACAATGCAATTCATGGCTTGTGCTAACTTTGGGTTTAAGGCCCCATTAAAGCTCAACAATACATTAATGTGTTTGTATCTGTTCCCATTAAGGGTTTATATCAATCTGCTATAGAGAAGGTATATATATTTGTAAGAAGTCCGAGAAAATGTAACTTGTGGTGCCAGAACATTAGCATGAAACAGAGATTGATGTCGAACTTTGTAGAACCAGAACATATACCTATAAATAGCATTTAAAAGTTTGATGATTACATATGTGAGTCAGGTGACAGAAAACAGTAAGCATTAAGAAGCTGCTCCTACCTCTTTAATATGAAATTAACTACTTCGTCTGGAATGAACATATTGAAAAGTAAGAAATTTTAAAAATAAGATATAAATGGGCATAATAAAACAGTTTCTGTTGGAAAATACACATCACATGTACTAGAAAAAACGAAAAACGACCAGTCCTCTGTTTTGCAGTTCATTCAGGATTCACTAACACACTGAAGAGTGTCAAAACTTAACCTAGCTTTTAGAATGAGTAATTAGTGTGGCAAAAAGTACTATGAAATCAAAAGAACAAATGAAAAGAAAAGATTTTATGTTCGATGTGTCCCTTGTTTCAAAGAGAGGAGGACGGGTGATTCACATTTCATTTGACGGTCAGGGGCGAATGACGGTCAGGGGCGAATGGAAAGCTAAGCAGTGGTAATACAAAAGATTTCCCCAGGAGAAAATAGAGATGGGTGCATGTATATGGGTCAAGAGATTCAGGGTTTGTTTTAAACGTTTTAATACAAATAACAGTGTGCCTAAGAGTAGAAGAAAGCCTCATCTTAGATCGTAATCATCCATTGCATCACCAACTGAACGATGTTAACCCCTATATCTCCAAGTTATGCAATGAAAGGCCTCCAGCTGCCCAATGCTAAAATGAACCCCAAAATGTAATTCAAGATTTAACAGCCATCTGCACCATTCGAAGTCATTCTAAGCACTAGGCATCAAGTTGCTAATTACCAAATAAGATACTAAACGGCAAGACAACAGAAGTCTATTTATACGTAAGAAAAAGACGTAAACAATCTAGAAGTTGAGAAACACTACAAAATAAAACCACTTTTTGACAGAAAAGTTTCATTTTTGAACACCACGGGTACCCAAATCAGCTGCAACCTTGGCTGCATGGTTGAGGGCGTCTGAGACCAAAAGAGCTCCCTTGGCGAAGTAACTGCTGTTAACAAAAGCAGTCGCAGCTGTTACAGCTGTTCTACCTGTATATAATGCAGCCGTACATGTATACGATGCAGCTGTCTTAGTGACATCTGAAACATGGTACTTCTCATCCACAGATTTAGCAGCCTCCATGCCCGCATAAATTTTGTCAGTGAGCCCGATTCTATTGCTAAGCTCTGCAACCTTGGCTGCTGCAGTAGTTGAGACTTGATAAGACTCGTCGAAGGCTTTGGCTTTGGTTAATGCATCTTTACCCAATACATATCCCTTTGCTACCATGGTTTTGACCACAGTTACAGCTTCCCCAGGAGTAGAAACAAACTGCCTTGCTTGAATCGCCTGCTAATATTGAGAACAGAAAAGTTTAAGGCATGTCAAGTACCCAAAAGAAGGTAATAGAAAATGTAGTATACCAATAAGTAGATGGGATAAATTGGTTGATTTAATAAGACAATAAACAACTTTAGAATGAAAGGAATTTCCCTTCACCTAGAATTTAAAATGACATGTTTTTTGTATCAAATTCATGCTACATATGTATCCAATTTAAATTTCGCAATTACGGATGCAAATGTAGTGTGAGAGCACACGTTCAATACTGAAAATAATCACTGTCTACAAATATGGTCAAATTGAGGTCTATACCCATAAGGCAATAGTGGGCCAAACATAAAAAAGGAAAATATAAAAATAAAATAATAGTTGGACCAACCTCAAATAGTGGTACCAATTGGCATTAGCCTGGATGGTATAAGCTCTGCTCCCCAAAGGGGACGTTGCATGTTCGAGCCCCTGTAGGGGCAAAATATAGTGGGTGTGTGCGGGTTTGCTTGAACTTCAGAAAAAAACATCAAATAGTGGTCTTATTTTTCTGAGTACTCCACATAATTACTCCTAAACTTTGAATTATTACGACATGAAATGATTCTAAAATCCTGAATCTCTCTTAGGTAGTATATAAGAAGATACTTCTTTTCCGACTCCTATGGAATTCTGTGAAGCAATAATTATTTTTTTTTCCAATACAGAGTCTGTATGCTAGCAATCCAGGTTGACAAGATGCAAAAGTTACACAAGTCTTCCTATAATCACTGCCCCAGACAAATATGGCTCCAAATAATTAGCTGTCAGCAACGAAGTTCAAACTTTTAGGAAACCTTGAATCAGATATGAAGTATGACAACCAGAAAACTTTACCAACAGGCTAGTTGACATCTTTTGTATTAAATAAAATTTTACACTACAGAATATGAAACAAACACCTACAAATAGTGGAAACAGAATTGAATACCGTTGAGCTAGTTTCATCTTGTGGCTTCCATGAAGGGTTGTTCCAAAGGTCTGATTCATCAATGCATGTCCCCCAGCGTGATATGCATACACGTTGATCTACAATAGTAGCTCCCTGTAATAACGGTAGGAAAGTTAAGCAAATCAAATACTAGATCTAATATTTTCATTAACTGGACTCCAGTACTTACCTTAGAGAGACTAATCAAAAAAAAAAAAAAAGTTACCTACCTTACAGAGAGAGAGAGCTATGGGATACAAAGTTGGAGTATTCCATCATAGCAACTGGAACATCTTAACAAAACGCAAAAATGAATAATATCTGTTGTTTTAATTACTAAACTCCAAACTTCAGTAAGATCATTGCAATGTGTATTAATCCTGATGATGATCTTAAATAAGCAAAACTCACCTTAAATGCTAAAGAAACAATGCTGACTTCAAGTATTATGGAAAATAAAATGAAATATTTTTATATTTATGTAGTGTTCATAGTTTACATAGAACAGTTAATGAGAACATAAAAACCAAAGTCATGCTAAAAGGTTCTGAGAAGCTTAATTGAGGGCAACCAACTGATTTGATCCAAACCCAAACTTTTTCCATACATGGAAATTCAATGTAAACACAAAATATTACCAAATGTTGTGTTTGTTTACAGTGTTTTCTCTCCCAATATCCCATGTAGGCAGAACATGTAGGTATTACACTTTACTTTATGATAATGAGTGAAAGAAACATATTTATTCCTTTTATTAGAAAAAAATAAAAATAAAATAAAATAAAATTGTTGAAATAATGAAATCAAAGTGACCTCTATCAGTCTATGTATAAGTTTCTTGACGATGTCTCGTTGAGAGCTGAACTATTTAGAAAAAAGGCTACATGGTAGTTGGAAGAAAATATTTTTTGAACCGATTTATGAAAAGTCAAGAAGGGGCCAATCTTGTAGGTTCAAAGAGAAGTATTCAGTTGACTCTTCACTAGCGTACACACAATTTTAGCATTTTCTCTTTCTTAAAATGTCATTAATAACGATTAATTATACTATTTTGGTGGCAATCAAGAAGCCCTTAAAAGTTGTTTGAAACACAGCCTAAATTATTTCCAAAAAGAGCACAGGACATACTAATATTGGAGCAATAGTCAGAATCAAATCAAAATGCAGACAAGATCAAATAATTTTTTTAATTATAGCCGCAGCATTATAAATGCTACTTTTTATAGGTCAAGTGAGTTATTTAACTTATTGAGTTAGCTAAAGAAAGCATCTTGAGAACTGTTTCCTTCACGAACATTACAAGTACGCTTACATTTTCTTACCATAGATGTAAATGAAAACTTACACTGAGCAAGACAGCTGTTTCCAGAGCATAAGCATCTTTAAATGTCACATAGGCAGTACAAGCATATTGTCCAGATCTGTTTTTGACAAAAGGAACTCTCAATCAGAAATGTGATGTATCCGAATTGTTTAGAACATAGTTTACCAACAGAAACCAGGAAGTCACCTGTGCCCCATATCATGGAACCTCTACTACTAATAACAGCCACTAGACGACATAAAATGAAATGCATCTCAAGCACTATAACTGCAATCGGTGTGTTGATCCTTTTTATCTTGGTTTTAAGTACTAATGTTCAAGAATTGGTTAAGGTGACAAAGCAAGGCCGATTTGAGCAACCAATGAAACTCCATACATCTTTAGTGATCCATCATTTCCTATTTCTTATGTAGTTGACTAAAATTGGATGTTTCAGATAAACTTTTTCTATTAAGAGGGCATCTAGTTGTCACGTGCCAATTCAATTTACCTCCATTCTATATTTTATTTTGTGCTTAAATACAATATATTTAATGTGTCCGCTAAATCAAATTGCATAGGTAATCACAATTCACAAATGAAAGCACACCAATAACATCGTATCCTTTCATGAAATTTTAACTTAGATTTGAAATCATAAGTTGTGTAATGGTCACATTGCTTTAGTAGCCTCATACCCTAGATGAAAAAAAAATATGTGATTTGAAGAGGCACCAGACTCTGAACAGACATGTCAATCTTCCCAAATTGAGAAATTGAAAAAATACGGATAACCATCGGTAAAGCCAGACAGCCAAAAGCATATAATGCAATGATTCCGGACTCCACATTGTGTTTTATATCAAATTATGATCAGAACTATGTTGTTATCGAGATTAACCTGAACAGTAAACCAAAATTCAGTAACCAGAAACTGAGAGATTTTGAAAACTACCTGATGATTTCCACGTGATCGATTGCACCACAGTAAGCAAAAAAATCATAAACATCCTTCTCTGTTGCTCTAGGTGACAGGGTTGTTACTTCTGCAGTATAACCACCCGGGTACATTGTTCCAAGTCTAACCAACAAAAGGTTGCCTTATTTAGTGAACCTGTTGAAGCAAAAATGGTCAACAACTAACATAATAAAGATGAGTTTAATCAATTCAAAAACAATTTTATCAATATCAGCACTTCTTCAGACAAAGTTTAATTTCTTGCTTGTAAAAGGCCACACTAGAGGAATAGGAAAGATAACAGATATGCCAGAAAGAGATAACAAGTATTATCCTCTTCTTGCAAAGCCTGACATGGGTGAGGATCCTAAGGTCCATCTCTCCAAGTGGGCACTGCCTCACATTATCCATACATGGGCATACTGCAACAATCATAACAAATTGACACTAATGTCCATTGAAATCTATCATATGCCTTCCACTGAAAACAAAATGATCTTTCCATATTAGCTTGAGATTTTAAAATTCATAATTTAAAAACATGTAAAGTAAAATGAAGGTATTAATATCCGTGCAATGATGCAAAGATTGGACAGTTCTAAACTAAGACAGTAAGGGTCTGTTTGGTTAAGTTTTTTTTAGAAACAGTTCTCAAGAACTCGGAAAACATAAAACTGTTTTCAGAGAACTACAAAGACCAGTTCTGTGAAAACATCCCTTATTTAACTGAGTTTTCACATAACAGTTTTCAGAAACTGTCAACTAAACTTGTCGAAGAACATAACACTAGAATTTTCTAATATTCATGACACAACATTTTCTTCCAGGAAGAATAAAATAAAAATGAAAAGTAAAAAGTAAAAATAAAGGAAAGGCCTTAGAACAATCAAAAAGGGCTGCCTAATAAAAGCTTCTTTAAGCAAAAGCATAACTTCTAGAGCAAGTGATATATGAAAGTCAAACAATACATTCTCATGGCAACTTTTGCCCAAATGCACCCGGTTGAAGTACCACAAAATTCATCTTCTCTAAAATGACTATTTTATCCCAAAGACAAAAATAGAGCCTTTTTGAGCTCTTCCCTATCAATCTTAATATGTTTTCCAAAGCTATAGGATTAAACACGACTATTCTTTTCCAAAGTTTTACAATTGAATATCAATTAAGATCAATAAAACCCTAGAAACGAAATATTTGCATGAGAGATTTAATCCACTTACAGGATGAAATAGTGAATGTGAAATGACATAGATTTTATACTAAGTGATTAAACATGACTATTATTTTCCAAAGTTGTACAATTAAATACCAATAAACCCCTCAAAACCATTTTTGCAGGAAAGATATTCCCTAAAACAACAATTCCACTTACAGATGAAACAGTGAATGTGAAATGACACAGATTTTATCTACTTAATATAGAAATCTGCAAATTATTTATAAAAAAAAAGAAAAAAAGAAAAAAAAGAGAGAGAGAGAGATTAGAAACAGTTGTTCGCAATGGGTTCCTAAATTTACAGTGCAATTGCAATTTATTAATCCAAAAAACTTCAATCACTCTATATTTTACCCAAGAAAATTAAAATACAAATAAGATAAAAGTCATAAACTTTATGAAATGAAAAAACAAATCTAATGATAGATCAATAATACTACTATGCTTACCTGTTTCCGATCAGAGGTTGAAACTCTGGGAGTCCACGAAGCCCACAGAGAGAGAGAGAGAAGAGAAAGAGAACCAATCACTGTCACCCACCCATATATTCTCGGATGATGGATGTCATTAAAATCTGGAAACACGTGTGGCGCTTGTGAATCGTCCAATGTGTAGATCACTCTTTCCTTTCTGATTAAGAATAATTACCTTTTTTTAATTAACCTCTTGGTGGGGAGTCATAATCTGTGGGACCCTTATTAGTTAAGACCATGACATAGACGTGTGTGAGAGTGACACGTGTACTGAAGGTCCAACAGACAAACCTACGCTGAATGGGCTGGGCTTCAATTTTCAGTCCATTATAGAACAAATTTGGGCTGGCTATATTAGGACTTAGTCCCTTTTGACTCGTGGTGCAATTCAGGTATGACCCAGATTTTATTGTTCTATTTTTCGTAGGGCTGCTAATGTTGTGAGTAAATGGGCTCCTGATCAAAAAGCCGTTAACATACAATGGGAAACTTGGGCTTCTTGGCTTGTTACTATACATATAACAGATGATGTCAATCATCTGCTGTTCTAGTTTATATATATTGCATTTTCATAAATAAAAAAAGAAAAAAAAAACTAACAGTCAGGAATTTTTTATTATTTCTTTATACACAAACAATAATTGGTGTTTTGTGCAATTTCTTTCAATAAATGGTGTTTAGTAAAGACTCTAGGCAATAATAAATAAGAATAGTTCATCCTTTTTAAATTATTTATCTCAATGATCGGCATATCAACCCGCAACCCAAAAAGGGATAAAAATTAGTATCATTTTTATTTTATTTTTGAGCTGTGATACAGGATCTGAAAGTGAGACCTAACCCTCCAACTACTTGTCATTTTATTTATTTTAAATTATATTGTGAACATTACAAATGAGAAAATGATTTTCAAAATTGCTTTTAACTATTGAATACATTAAAATAAGTTTGTAATAGAATCGATTTAAATCGTCTTATACACTAGTAATTAGGTCAGACAATTCCATCACACAAATAGACATAAATATAATACCAAATGAGTTAATAATTTAGCAGTATTACCATAGTTTTAATGACGCAGCTGTAGCCGACATGGAATTGTGTGTGATTGAGAAGTGCGGTCACCTCATCCAACGGTTGTCCCTATTAGACATATTGTGCTACCTCTTTATGTTTTTTATTTCTTTCACAAAAATAAATAAATAAATAAATTGACAATTGATGTGATTTGAGCGTGGCCTAAGTGTATTAATGAATTAAATATCAATATCAATATAAAAATGTATTCTTATCTAATTCCAAGTCTTTCTTCAAGTCAATTCTCTAAGTTTGATTAATAATTAAAATAATAATTTAGAACATTAAGAATCTATTTGAATTGCGTTTGTACCTTGTAAAATCGTGTTGAATTTGAAAATATTTGATAAATAAAAAATACACTTTTAGAAGTAGAAATTTAATTAAAAAAGTGTGTTTTGGTAAAGTTGCAAATCCACTTCATAAAATTAAAATCGGAAAAAACTCTGTCCAATGTATGATATTCCGAGATGTAACGTAATAATGATTTGTTTATGGTCCAGTTTTACTTTGCTTACGACCACTTCTACTTGGACTATACACCGAATTTACTATGATGGTGCAAAATAAATTACTTGAGTCGTATGTCGTTTTTAGAAAAGAAAGAAGTTACAGTGCAAAACATGTCAAGTGAATACGTTTTGATAATGGAGGGGTTGAACTGTGATGGAGAGGACAAGTTGGTAGTTAGTTACTGGAATCACAACATGGTGTGCCCTACACCCGTCACCATTGTTGTGCTTGATACATTGCGGATTCATGGGAGAGCTTGGGTGTGCTCAAGTTCACCCGGTCCGACTATACCTAATTTTAGCACAGTCTTAAAAAAAAAAAAAAAAAAAAAAAAAAATTATTATTATTATTATTATCACTATCATTATTACTAATATTAGTCCATCCAAAAAAATATTAGTCCGCTCATTGATAATTCCTAAATCAACTATTCTATAAAAAAATATTGATCCAACTCAATCCATTAGCATTATGTCTAAGGTATATTTATTTTCACAAAGATATCTTCTATTTTTAGAAGGTAAAGTTAGTCCATTGGGCTCCGTGGCATCGTAACACGGCTGTTCATGTAGTAAGTAAATAGGTTAAATAAATTTACCAAGGAAAAAGAAAGGATTAAAAAAAAAAAAAACTATTTTAACCAATTTATTCAAATATATTTTAAATTTACTTCTTTAATTTATTAAAGTTATTTTCAATACAATGAATATTTCACTTATTAATATTTTGTCCTCAAATTTTTTTTTTTTTTTTTTTAAAGGCAAGAAGTGTTAGAAGTTAGATTAGTATATAAATACAGAGAGTTTAAGCCTAACACTCCAAAATTCACAAGAAACACGAATTCACTAGCTTATCGAGACATCGTAATTACACACCAAACATGAGAATTACGATGACTCAAATTTTTTTCATCACTCAGAATGATGTCTTTGTGATGTGTTTAGTAGAAAACAAGGAAGAGGTGTGGAGAAAAAATAAGAAGGAAAATGATATTATTGACGACTTTAATACCCGACTTAAAATCGAAGAAGATAAAATATGGCGTGGTTATTCTAAAATTTTAACTTAAATAGGCATCATTAGTACTCTTATTTATTTCTATAAAATACGTCTCTTTTTCCTTCCTGATTTTTCAATTTTTCATAGCCCCTCTCCTTATTTTTTAATTTTCCATTTATGGTTGTATCATCTTCTTCTCTTTTTTTGTCGTTTTCACAACAAGTTTCAAGATACTCAAAAATAAGAATTTGATTTGTACAAAATTTACAACAAAAATTATAATGTTTTACAATTTTTCAATACTTTACAATTAAAAAAAAAAATTCTTCTTCTTATTTTTTTGTTTTGGGGATAAGATATATCATTAGTTTTTATCATTATAACCATTAATAAATGTTTATCAAAGTAATTGATGTACATTAATGATAAAAAAAAACACAATGTTTTATATATAACCAAGATACACGATCTAATTATATATAGGAGATATCTAAAGTATCACGAAAGTTCTTATATGGATGCAATGCGATGTGCATAATAAATACACAATTTGATATATATGGTGATTGACATTTTAATCGCCTAACAAACATACTAGATTAAGATAAAATCTAAAAAAATAATTGTAACTTTCTAAATAATTAATTACCTTATATTTTAATATGGCTCCCATTATATTTGACACATAAATAGCCATAGACTCGGTGAAATAATAGGTTTTTATTTGTCGGGCTAAATAGCAGGACACGCCAAAAAATGAACAAAAGAAGAGAAGGAAGACAAATAAACTATTATAAAAGTTTTAAATTAAATATTATCCTAAATTATACAAGTTTTAAATTACAGTACTATCCTCTATAAATTAAATTACAATATTATAAATATTATAGACAATACTTGCCTACTCACCAGTGAGTAGGAAGTTCATGCTTACCCCTAATGTGGCGCAAAAGCAATATGACAAGTGTCCCTAAATAGAAAATTAAAAAAATTGAATGCTTGCCTGGTCAACCGAAAGGATGAAAATCAAATCATAATTTAACTCTCTCCATCTATTTCCCTCTCTCAAACTACTCTGCTAAAACCCGAATCTGCAAATACCGAAAGTTTTGACTTTAATTTATCTTTCATGGTTTAATGTGTAATTCTTATGTATACTTATCAATTATTTTTATTTAAAGTACATCTAATTATATAAAATCTGATTCACATGGTTTGATAAATGATTTCTTAATTGTAGGATAAATTGTTATTTTTTTATTTCTTATTATTACATTTATAGTTCTCCTTTCTATTTATCATCCAAAACTTTGTTTGTATCTTATAATATTATTTTATTTTAAAATTTTTACTCTTGTTTTTTTTTTTTTTTTTTTTTTTTTTTTTTTCGACTGGATCCCCCTTCTCATTCACTCCCTGAACAAAAAGATAAAACAAAGTATAGGCAAATATTATCTAAATATTATTGAATATAATGATAAAAACAATTAAAAAAATTTCTTTGTTTTTCTTTTAACGAACATAAAAAATTATATATTTATTCTCCTCGTAAGTAGGCAAATATTATCCAAATATTATTGAATATAATGATAAAAATAATTAAAAAAAATTCTTCATTTTTCTTTTAACGAACATAAAAAATTATAAATTTATTCCCTTTTCTTCTATTCAACCGAATAAAATACTACTTCTGTCCCATATTAGTTGTTCTTTTTGAAAAATTTTGATTCACAATTTTTGTAAGTCAAAATTATTAAAATAGACATATAATATGGGATATAGATAACATATAAATATATAAAAAGAATATAACTAAAAATAATCCCAAAAAATAAAAAATAAAAGTTAATAGTGAATTAAAATTTAACAATAATTAATAGTGAATTAAAATTTTTGGATTGAACAATTAATATAAAACAGAGGGAATATATATATATATATATGATAATCTCTTCTCTGAAATGTCAAATCCATTCTTTCTTTTTGACCTTTTTCATTCATTCAACTTTTCTCTTGGCGGTGCAAGAGCCATTTACTTTTTTTTCTTTCCCACCCAGCATATCATTGGTGCTGGGTGGTACTGACATTGTTTAATGAGGCAACAATAGCCGACATGGAATTCTGTGGTTGTCCCTATAGTCTAATAAATTATGATCTCTTTTAAGTTTTTAATTTCTTTCATATAGGAGTAGAAAAAATGGCAACTGATGTGATTGAATGGCGCAAGTGTCTTAATGAATTAAACATCAAAGAGTTTTACTTATTTTAAATTTCAATATTCCACTCACAATATTGAAATTTTGAATAAAGATTTCAAATTGGATAACAATATACTAGTTCTATTTTTATATTAATACATGTATTTCACTTTAAAGCTATGTTTGGAATTATTCATATAATAATTTTCTTGTCAAACGGTTTTCATAATTTGTGCTATAACCTATTATTCAGGACGATAATCAAGTGGAACTAAAATTTGGCTTCAATTTATTTAGGATGATTTTTGTATATACACCAATTTTGACCTCACTGTTATTTTTATTTTATTA